CAAGTTTACCCGTAAACAATCGCGCACTGGCAAACACTTCGGCAAACGCGCGTTGGCACACAGACCGGCGTGTGTGTCGAGTGCGCGCGCGAGTGTGAGGGCGTGTTGGTGCGGGTGCAGCAACCAGTGCTCCGACTCAATCTAGTGGGCCAGGGCGGCCGGCGCCAGCGCGGCCAGGGCAAACGAGACTCATTAGGAGGGTCAGGGCCCTGGCGGCCGGGGCGGCTTGGCGGCGGACTCATTTTGGGCAGGGCGTTTCAAAGCTAAAAGCTTCTGGGCGCCGCGCCAGTGGTGAGGATTAACGATCCGCCACCGCGCGGCGCGGCGCGGCGAGGCGCGAACCACCTGCCCGACCCCGCCGACAGCGAAATGGGCCAGATCCAGAGGCCGCACTTGGGCCCCTTGATGCGGTGATGCATGCAGAGCGATGCAAAGCAATGCAAAGCCTTCCGGACTCAATCCGAAAACGATGCCCACCATTCTGGCACCGGCCGCGGCACTAGTTGGCAGCTCGCAGGCCGAGAGCGCCGACACTTCCGCCTCCGACAGCTGCCGCCGGCTGCCGCGCCGCCAGCGGGCCGTGCAGCGCCCTCGGCTGGAGCGAGCTGGAGCGCCTGCAGGCTGCGGGGTAGGCAGTCCCGCGCGACAAGCGCGTTCGGCGGGCAGGCCTGGCCGCCGGGCGCTAGACGCTCCGATAGGGCATGGGCACATCGAGACAAGTGAAGGTTTCACTGGGGATCATTGAGCGGGAACATTCAAATGCTCCCCTTTTTGTAAGGCATGGTGTTTACTGCTGAAAGAAGATAAATGTTGCAAAGATGCCTAGAGGGCATTGGTAGGCATCGAAGCACGCATAGAAGTTGCTGGAGAGTGTTAAGATTGCTTCATCAAACTTTGGCCTTAATGAAAGTAGGACCCCCAGCGATAGCGCCTGCTGGGTAGGCAACAAGCAGTACACAACCGTCCATAACCTCCAACTGCATAGCTTTTATTTGTTTCACGTGATGAAGTCCTAAAATTTTCAATGAATCCATGTTCCTGTAAGGCACGAATGCCAATAAATTCGTGGGCGAGTGATAACCTCCGCTTAAATCGTAGATATATCGTAGGAAAGACGTCGAAATTCAAGCTTCCCGCGAGATTGATCCCCAGTGAGTAGAGAACGTTCTGGGTCCCATCACCGCTAGTGACTTCCAAAAAGCCCACTGCCCATGCTCTATTGGCTGGCTGGGTCGCGTGGTCCGCGCACAGGCAAGGGTGTCTTGGAGTCGAACCATCATCATGCCGGGTCGTAATTTTTAAACTCGCGCAATTTAGCCGGCCGGCTGTACGGAGCTGTTCCCTCTGCGGCCGAATGTAAAGCACAGTGGCGGTTCGGGTCGGGTCGCGCTGGACCGAGCTGGCTGCTGGCTGTCGCTGCCAGTGGAGTTATTGCTCATCAAAGCGGACGGCAGTAACGAGCAACCCGTCTGGGGCTGTCTGGGACTCCGGCAGCGAAAGGCGGCGAAATGCGACAATGCGACCGTCGGTTTGGGTCAGCTGCGGGACAGCGGGGCTGCGGACTCGGCAACGGGCGACCCGAGTGCCTGCGGTCGTGCTGGTCGTGCCCGCCCCTCGGCCCCTCGGCGCCCCACCCACCGGGTGCTGCCGTTTGTTTGGCTTGGCGTCGTGGCTGGCGCGGCCACGGGCGTGGCTGGCTTGGCTGGCGTGGCTTGGCGTGCGTACCGATACCGAATCGCACCAGGTTTGGTTTCCAATTTCTCTGAGTGGCCCGCCACGGTGGATGTTGACGCAGCTTTGGCACGAACGTCGACCTCCAGGCCCGCTACGTGTCGGCACGGGCGACGGCGACACCACGCGTTGTACGCGGCCACCGCCAAACCTGCCAAGCTGCCAAGCCTGCCCCGCGTTGCGCCGCGTGGCGTGCGTCACCGCGATCCAATCCCTTTAACAGCGTTACGCGAATTCCGGAAGACAAGTCAATCGCCTTAAGTGGCGCCCATTGGCGTCCCCTTCAGCGCGCTTCAGCGTCACGGCCGTCGAGGCGGGGGACACGAGCGGACGCGACGCGGGGCGGCGGGGCGGCGGGGCGGCGGGGCGCTAGACAATCGTCTGCTTCGCTTTGCGACCTATTCGGGGATCACTCGGACGGCGTTTGCCCCGCGCCGCCGGGCGGCTATGCGGCCCTGCTAATCACGCGGCGCTCCTCGGGCCTTTAGCACCTGGACGGCAAAGCGGCCAAGCGGCGAACCGCGGCCAGTTCCCCAGGCACCGCCTCCGCCTTGCCTCCGCCGCCCAGGCCGCGTCCCACATCCGGTCCGGCACGCCGAGGCAGGCAGTCCGGCACGCCGGGGCGCCGTCAAGCTGCATCCTCGCTCGACCATTCCCCCATGTGGGTCGTCGCTGGGTCACCGCCGGGTCAGGTCACCGTCGCCGTCCAGGCTCTAAGCCTCCGCAGCAGGATGAGCTCAACACGCTGCGCTCGCCGGCAGGCCGCAGGCCGCGCCAACGGGCCACCGCGCCGCGTCCCAATGGGCGACACAGCTTTCCAGACAGCGTGGCAGATAGGCGCGGCAGAGGCTGGGCGGCAGGGCGGCCCGGCGCAGCGCCAAGGCCGGCCAAGGCCAAACGGCCGCCGCCGTACCGCGCCGTGTCCATCGCGGGGAAGTTTCAGGAAGCGCTCCCCCCGCACCACACCACCCCCTCCGCGCTTCCGCCGCCCCTCCGCGGCCACGGACAGCCTGCGCCTAGCCAGCCTCGCCAGCCTCGCGCCCGGCCTGTCCAAAAAGCCACCCGATCCAGGCCCTCCATGCCCTGCAGGGGGACGCGGGGGATGGGGCGCCGCACGTGCGCGTTGGCGGGAGCGTCCTTGACCGACTTCGCCCCTGTGACGTCACCGCGGTGCTCCACCGGGACTCTCCATCGGGGCGCTCCATCGGGGCGCTCCATCGGGGCGCTCCATCGGGGCGCTCCATCGGGGCGCTCCATCGGGGCGCTCCATCGGGGTGCTCCATCGGGGTGCTCCATATAGAGAGCAAATCGGGAGACCGGCCCCACGAGTGCGAGAGAGACAGAGCGAAGAAGGCGGTCCTCGGAATCAGTCGACAGCGTCACACAGCCGTTGCTCTCGGTTTGCCACAGTGTACTACAGTGTACTACAGTGTACTACACCGAGATGTGCACCCAAGGTACCCCGTGGCCCCGCTTTCGCGCCCGCATCATTCATTCAGGGATGCGCGTGCTCCGATCCTTAATCTGACGAGGCGGCGACCCCCAAGGCCGCGATGCCGCATTCGTCACTCTGCGTCACTCGGAGGCGAAGGCGGCGTGGCGGCTCGGCCACTTCGGCGAGCCTCGCGAGCCTCTTGACCGGCCAGGAGAGCGCCAACATGCCGGCGGGTTGCTGCCAGGGCTCTGGAGAGTACGCCGCGCCGCGCCCCGCCGAGGGTGTCGAGCGGATCGTGCGGTGGGATGGGGATCAGTCCAGCTGCTGCGGCCGGCCAGTGCCCCGCCCGCACCGCCCCTCCAGCAGCACGGACTCAAGGGACTTCCCCCGCCTTCCAGCCATTTAATCTAAACCCTGCCACGCTGTGTGCTCACTTGCAGAAAAGGGCTTGACTCTGTTAGTACCCCTCCACAAAAAAAAAAAAAAGAAGTTATAGGCGTTTTCTTAAAATTAGTTCACACACGCAGTATCCACGACACACACATGTGGTACCCATGGACTCGTTTGGTGCAGCATAGTGAAACATAGGCCCAAGACTTGACTTTTAAAAGAAAGTTAACAGGAGGGGAATACGTTCTTAACACACTTTTTGACCGGACACATTACTGCGAATGAAAAGTCCAGTACAACCAGAACATCCCACGATACAAGCTATTGCCACAAGGATAAGATACGTTATGTAGATCTAGTGGTCTACTTATTCAACGTTTCAAACTCACTAAATTTCGCTCGTCATACTTTTATATGAAGTAGGCCTGTAACTAGATTTGTGTGAAATAAAGCAATGAGTGCATGAATAAAGCAAAGAATTCTTATTGATAATGAACATTTAAAAAAAAAAACAATTGTAGACTTTATTCACAGCGTTGACAACCTGTAGGAGTAGTGATGAGGTCAGTTGCATCGTATCATGTTTTCTGTGTAGGGACGGGGTTATGTATACCACGGACACAGGACGACTAACCTTTCCTCCTGCCGAACGGGCCGCAGAAGCTCGTGTTCTTTCCAATGATGTTGTCATCAATGTATTTTATCAGCTTGACCGTGTCCTCGCTCTTCTTCGAGTTGGCATGACGAACCTTAGATCCCCGCGAGGAATACTCCTCGGGGAGAGAATAAAATTTGCGTTCACCATATGACTTGTTTGAAAGCATGGTTCGGTTCACTTCCACAGCATTGAACACATCACACAACACGAAGTATCACTTTTGACACTAATGCACGAACATGAAAGGTATCACTCAAGGGAAACAAAGACACAGCACCAAATATTGTAATAACGCGTCAACGGTTCCACAGAGCGGTGATCTATTAATTTGAAGCACTTCTGATTTAAACCACAACCGCCTCAGTGTATGCACACAGACAGACTGACTTGTTTTGAAACGAGTGTTTGGTGTGGTAGTGGGGGCGGGGGGAGGAGCGGGGGAGGGGGGCGGGGGGAGGAGCGGGGGAGGGGGGCGATAGGAGTAGCAGCGACCCCTAGTATCCCGTTGTGGTCAGTCGAGGAACTACACGAGACGGCGACGTTAGGGACAACCAACTTGGTTGTATGTGACGACGTCTCCTAGAACCATGGAGGATCTCCCTAGTCCAGACGTTACGATTTCAATTTAAAAGGATTTCCATTTTGTTTCAAAAACAATGCTAAGTAGCATTAGCTCTGCTTCTATTTCAAACCGAGCGCGCAAATTGAATTTTGTACATGTTGGTGAGCCCGACTCGCGTCCGCCCTGTCCGCTGGCCACAACCCCTCGCCTCGCTTCCACTGCCAACGAGGAGCTCACATCCGGAAAGAAAAGGAATCATCGCCCATCTTCCGTCTTTCAGTTTGTAGTGGCTTTAGCGGCAGGGCGAGAGGCCTGCTGTCGTTGAAATTAATCTATTTCAACCGGGTTCATCCCTCAATCAAAATGGTCCAAAAGAAGGCAAGTCTGATCTCGATATTCCCGTCTCCTAGTTCCCTTATTTCTTGCCGTGCTGATTTTCGCCCACTTGCGTTTTATTATTGTTTCCCAGTCCCCTTCGTTTGTGATGAATCCACGTTGAAGCGTTTCACTCCCAAGTCCCCTATTTTACATTCCCGGTGTGCCTGTCGTGTGGTTTGCATTTTACCCGTGTCAGTTTTCGTTTTATTGTTGTACTGTTCACTACATTCTGAGGGTTGCTGTGTTATATCCCTCGTTCTCTGTTTAATTTTACCATTTCATCCTAACCTACGCCGCTGCCGGTTTGCGATATTATAGAGGCAGTAGGTCCTTTTGCCCTTTTTGCGTTAAGTTTTCTTCTGACGCGACACGTCAGTGATTACCTGCATGTCCCGCAAAGAACTTTCATTTTCTCTTAGCTGGCAGAGTTTTTTACCCCACCTTCGGTATGTTTTGCTGCTCATGTGTTGTCCCACCATAACCTAGTTTTTTTAATTTGTTGTAGCCCAAGAAGAAGGTAACCGGAAAGAAGGTGGCCGCAGCTCCCCTGGCTGTGAAGAAACCCGACGTGAAGAAGGTTGTCAACCCTCTTTTCGAGAAGAGGCCTAGGAACTTTGGCATTGGTCAGTACTTCTGCATGTGTTGACACTGACATTGAGGAGGTGGAAGCGGTGCTACTGAGTGTCTCTGATTTCAGGTCAGGATATCCAGCCTTCTCGCGACTTGAGCCGCTTCGTGCGCTGGCCTAGGTACATCCGCATCCAGCGTCAGAAGAATGTCCTCCAGAAGCGTCTCAAGGTTCCCCCTCCAATCAACCAGTTCACACAGACCTTGGACAAGCAGACAGGTATGATGCCTTATCCACATTTATTTAGGCCTAGTGTTGCCTTGTTGGGTTTCTTATCAAGTTCTCTTTCAGCTGTCTCCATTTTCAAGATGCTTGACAAGTACCGCCCTGAGACTGCTGCTGCCAAGAAAGCTCGTCTCCAAGCTCGTGCTGAAAAGAAGGTTGCCACTAAGGAGGACTCCCCCACCAAGAGACCCAACACTGTCCGTTCTGGCATCAACACTGTTGTCAAGCTAGTTGAACAGAAGAAGGCTCAGCTTGTGTGCATTGCCAATGATGTAGAGCCCATCGAACTCGTCGTCTTCTTACCTGCCCTCTGCCGCAAGATGGGAGTGCCTTACTGCATTGTGAAGGGCAAGGCCCGTCTTGGTGTTGTTGTTAACCGCAAGACTTGTGCTGCTCTTTGCTTGACCCAGGTAAATGTCATGTTCTTATGATGTGGTACTGTCTGAGGTGTTTTCTGTTTCTGCCTCAACATAACTGTTTTATTTTTTGTCTAGGTTGAATCTGGTGATCGGGCACAGTTCTCCAAACTGGTTGAGACTGTGAAGACTAACTTCAACGACCGGTCTGAAGAAATCAGAAAACACTGGGGCGGTGGTGTGCTTGGCTCAAAGTCTGCTGCCAAGATTGCCAAGTTGGAAAGGAGTAAGCAGAAGGAAATGGCCCAGAAGCAGGGCTAAAGTAATAAAGAACTATGTAAAATTATTTCTTTTCCTTACTCAAACCCATCCAACTGCATTCATGCTTTCTATCTGAATTGAAAACATGTTTGGCACATTAATTATATTTACTAGATGGAGACATCCAGTTGTGGATCTAAGTAAGGTTTATCAGGGTAGGAAAATGCAAATCAATTAGTTACTTAATCCTTTATTGGAATTAATATTTGAAGTACTGTAATTATCACTGGCAACAACAGTTGCAAATTATTTTACATGTCTTACGGAGAATGGCAGTCATTAGCAATTAATTTAATCAAGTGAAAGTCACTACTCTTAATGCATTCCAATGTCCAAATCTGACCAGACAGCCTCAGGGTCACTTTCATCAACTTCATTCTGGAATCAAAATTATGGTACAGAGCCTAGTACAACTTCACAGACTTTAATAAGATTTTCAGATGATTTACCTCATTATCTGAGTCCGCTACATCTCCACCAGTATCATACGTAGTGTCTGCATTTTCTTCTTCACCAACAGGCATGTAATAGGTGGAGTCCAATTTACTAGAGGAGTTATCAATCCGATGCATACCTTCAAGTGCCCTTCGGTTATTGGGATCCAGGCTGTAGCAGAAGTTAGTTACAGGGAAAACGTAGGCACAAACAGTTATTATAGTGGAACATTTGGGCACTTACTTGAGGGCAATGGCATAGTGGTCTAATGCCTTTTCTTCTTCATGGACACGGGCTAGTAGATCTCCAAGCATCTGATGAAGCTTACAAGTGGGTCTCAGTGCCACCTGCTTCTCTAAGAGAGCAATAGCCAGCTCCAAAGTCATTTCCTTTTAAAGAAATTGAAATTAAAAATGCGCTCCGAGAGCATATTGATATTTCAAGTCTAACATAGTTTGGTAAATATACCTGTTCGTAAAGCTCTGCTAAAAGGTAAACAGCAGGAAGAAATAATTGATCAAGCATCAGTGCTTTCTCTAGGAGGGTTTTGGCCTTTGGGACACTTACAGGGTCTTTCATGAGGACAGATGCATACAACTGGAAGAGAAGGGTTGTGTAAATAAAAGAGAAAGGAGGATTGAAAACCAAAGTTAAGTGGAGTAAAGACAGCTTACAGTCAAAGACCTTGGAGTTTGGCCAAGTTGCTTTACAGCACTGCATGCAATAGTGAGAGCTTCTCGGAATCTGAGCATAGCAACATAGCAATCAACCAATCCTTTGTGGGGCTCATAGCGATGACAACAAATTTGTTGAGCATCTCGAAAATGACTAACAGCCTCGGGATGTTTTTTCAGCTCAAGAAGAATCTGTCCTTTCAGAAGAAGAGCTTCAACATGTCGTGGAGCAATCATACATGCCTAAAAAGAATTTTGTTTTATCCTCGACCAAAAGACATAAGTTGATTTTAAATGAGAAAGAAATGAAATTGTATTAGTATATACCTTTTGAGCAAAATAGGCTGCTTTAGTGTGCTTTCCAGCAGCAAAAAGGCTATAAGCTAAAGCAATCCATGGCTCAGGACCATTAACTTCGGGTGACATTTGCAATGGAGCAACTAATCTTTGCAATTCACGCATTTGACGTTCTTTAGCAAGAATGCAACTAAGGATGTCCAGACCCCTTTGGAGAGGTTCCATAGCATGAGCCTTCAGAGACAAAACAACAAATAATTAACAAATGAACAAAAATTTATTTCTTGAGCCCACTAAACAAATACATACCCTTTGAAGGACTAAAGCTGCGTTTGCATTATCACCATAGTAATAATAACTCTCTCCAAGGGGCACAAGAATGTTAACATTGTCTCTCAATGATGTACGCTCATCAAGATTACGGAAAGCTTGGATTGCTTGGGTGTACTCTTGACTGTGCAAATAGGCATGAGCTTTAACCCAATTGTTCAGCCTGCAATACAAAGAAAAAATACAGATAGAATATAATTTTATTTTTACTTAATCAAACACCACAAACAATATTGAAAGACTTACCAATCCAGTTGGCAATTCATGGAAGACATACCATCAATCATGAGTGAATTAACTTCAATACCTTTCATTCCCAGTTGTAATAAGCCCTCAGCTGCTTCTAGTGCTAAAGGACATTCCTGAAATGGAGAGAAAAATTTGGGAGAGTTCAAATACACAGTACTAACTTACACAGTACTAACACACGGGCAGCAAAATGAACCAACCCGCAGAACTTCTTTATAAGCCCCAATCGCAGCTCGGCAGTGGCCTTGGTCATGAAATAACTTGGCCAGAGCCATGTGAACTTTAGCTGTACGTTGCTTCGCTGGTATAGACTGCAGAGTATTCATGGCAGTGTGATGTTGTCTCTGCTGGACCTGACAGAGGTGCAGTTGGTACTTGATGTCTGGAAGGAAAGAGATAAAATTATAAGTAAAATTTGAAACAACCACACACTAAAATAATAAAGTGCTTAAAAGAACATTTAATGGATTCAGCTCGTCTTACCAACATCAGCCATGCTTTCTCGTTGACTTTCAGTTGGCGTTGTCGGCTGTGATGGGGTTTTGTTGGTTTGAACAGATGATGATCCAGATTTGGTCTTTAATACAGATTTTTTCAGCTGCTGAACTTTTTTGTAGACTCTTTCAGCTTTTCTGTATTGGCCGGTTTGAAATAAAGACTCTGCATAGCAAGTGTATGACTGTAGTCTTGAGGGCAGAAGGGGAGAATCCAGTGCATGGTCATTCACTGTTAGCACTAGGCTTCCCTGTTCACACACACACAAAAATGATGAAACGGACTTAATTACTAAAGAGCATCGCAGGCTACATAAATTATTACTGTTGTTTGGCGACTATTTGTAACAGCTTACCAGGGCGACGACGTTAGAATACAACTGTTGATCGTATAGAAGCTTTACGTGGTCGTGGACGCACGACATGATGGAGAGTTCAAGTGGATTTAGACATTACCAGACACCACTAAATGGTTGGTATCCAAGTCTTTAAGAGAGACTTATCCTTAATATCAACTCAATTAATTGAGAAAAACAAAGAGTTCTACACGAACTTAACCTTTTCACTTCTACCCTTCTGTCAGTGAACTCGTCAACTAGAAAGGAAAGAAACAACAGTTTTGTTTTGTTTGTTGAAAATCTCTACCACAACATCAACTCAAAATAGCTTCAAAAAATTTTATGGTTGTTGGGCTATTGTTGAAAGGAAAATAAAATGTCATAAATTAAAAACTGAACTGTAAGGCTTAGGATTCTGTTGTTTCTTTTAGACACGCCACTTCAACTTCCTAGAATGTCTCAGATTTTGCGCTGCAGTTGGTGATATTGTCCGCCGTCATTTGTCGGCATCCAGCAGACAGCGTCTGCCTTCTGCTGCGGCGGAGAGAACTAAAGTTATTTAGAAGACACGAAGAATGTCAGAAAAACAGCATTCCAACTTCTCCGCAGAAGTATACTTTGTACCATAAGTTACAATTTATCAGGCATCATGAGCGATATCATAGAGTGGGACCGTCAGGAGAGTCGAGCTTGCGAAATTCGGCCCCAGCAGAAGGGCCGGTGGAACACCACTGTTGTCCTTCTCAGAATAGTTTTCATTCTTGTAGTTATATACTTGTGGAAGCTCTACCAGGGCGACTGATTCGTAAAATAGAGAAAAAGAAACTAATTCGGACTTTGTTCGTGGCACCAACCGAATTACGGTGTGTGATACAATGATGTCACTAGAAAAAAAAACAATGTTTGTGTTTGTAAACAAACCCCTTTCAGGTTAAATTTATAAAATTGTTTTTCCATCTCTTTTTTCTAGATTTTTTAATGCGTCAGTGTAGCAGTCAACAAAAGCATCCTATCTTTAAAACAAAGAGGAAGCAGGAAATAACAGCAACAATAATACAAGAAATTGGTGAGTCTGGCTCGTATTTATTTCAAAATGATTTTGTGTAAACTATAAAAAAAGTGACTTAGAACATCCTTGGTGCAGGTTTGGAACTCCTCCTTCTAAAACATCGTTCTACACAAAAAAAAAAAAATCTGAAAAAAATAATTTTGGCATTAAAGCGTTTTATTTTTGACATATTCCGGCTTTTGACTCACAACGCCAGTGTAGCAGCTCCCGACAGAGTCTGTGTATCTTTTACCTGTCCACAGGGGCATATGATGCGGGTTGCCTACGCGGGCGTCTCGGGACTTAGGGGCCCGAAGGGGTAATGAGGGCTCTATCGGGACTCTGGCAGGGGGCGCCCCGCGCCTTGAAGGCTGGCGTCAGCATTTAGTCAGTCACTCCGGTCACTCCGTTCCGTTGTTGCGAGCGTAGGCGGAGCAGCGACGGCCCGCGCCGCCCTTTGCAGCCTGGCGGGCCTGGCGGGCCGGCCCCTAGTTCTCGTTCCTCGTCACGCCAGTCACGCCCAGCTTGGAGCTCTCGGGGGACTTGCCCGACGCGGCCCGCAAGTCGCGCCGCCGCCTGCGCCGCCTGCCGCCCGCGTCCCTCGCCAGGAAATTCGCGCTATTCGGGTCCACGGCGTATTGGCAGGGCAGCACGGCCGAGCACGGCTGCAGCAGGGTGGAGCGAGCCAATGCGCAGCCAGCACTGGGCCGCTGGGCTGCGCTGGGCCCGGCCCGGCCAGGGTGCAAGGCGTGCAAGGCCATTCGCCGCCCAACGGCCCGACAAGTCCATGAGGAGGCCTCACAGTGGGCTAAGCGGCCAAAACTCGAGACGCGTTTTGGGCTCCTAAGTCGCTAAATGGCACTCAAACCGACGTGTGATCCCACCAATAGATTGCTCTCCGAACATCCATTGGTGGGGTCACACATTCGGTTAAAGTCATGTTTAGCGACTCTGGACTCCGGACCTCGAAACGCGTCTGGAGTTTTGACCGCCTCCACGTAACTGAGAGGCTCATGCTTGGCGGGGCCGTTTGTTGAAAGTCCGTTCGCAATTTCGGAGGGGGCCATGTCACACTGTTTGCCTGCCTTCAGGCGAGGCGTCGTGCGTGTCGGCAGCTGGCGAACGAGAGGACGGCGATGTTCGGGGAATGCCCTCGGCGTGGGGCCTGGCCCAGCCAGCCTGGCCCAGCCCAGCCTGGCCGGCCAGGTTGGGGACGGGGGCGAGGCGAGGCAGGGGAGGCAGGCGAGGCGCGTGCGAGGGAATGTCGTAGGCAATAAGCACTGTGGATGACAAGTGGGCGACAAGGGTGGCCGCACGGCGCCGCGCGGCAGGCCCACTGCCCACTGCGGACCGCATTCCGGTGCAGTAGCTCGGAACACACACACGCACACACACCCTGAGCTTCGACCCGGTGCTAATTAACCTAATTGATGACACACGTATACGCTCGGTTAATTTTGTTTTAAGCAACGCAAAGCTGCGCGGAACCCTGGGTTCAAAGGTGAAACGCCTCCCAGCGCGGAGGAAAGAGAGACTTTTTAATTCAAAAATGAAAGCAATGAACGCGACAAGCAGGGTTCTGACAGTGTAAGGATGAATTCGGTGCGGAATGGCAGCGCTGTTCACTGTTTCGAAGGCGGGCGGGCGGCGCGGCCAGAAGCGGCACTCAACGCCACCGATTCGATGACCACGGAAACGGCGCGCGGCGCGGCGCTGCGCTGTTTCGGTTGTTTTGACACGGTGGACGTGCTGGCCGTGCCGACACGACGGGGAATTTAAAAGTCAAAGAAATAGAGGGAAACGCGGGCATCGCGTGCATAAAAAGGGGGCATTGTGAAAGGACGGCTGCAAACCACGCCCAAGCACCGGCAGGCGGCAAGGCGGCAAGGCCCAGCGGAATGGGTTGCCCGTGCTACAGCGATGATGATGTGGGGTGGTCGGCGGCAGTGGAGCAGCAGCGGCCGTGTAGCCTCGCGGCCGAGTACTTTACGACTGGTTCATAAGCCCCGGCCCCGGCCTGAGGGCGGCGCTGTGGCGCTCAGACGACGGCCTCGCGCGCGGGGGTGGAGAAGCACTAGGAGCGGAGCGACCCGCCACAACGCGGCCTGCTGGCCAGTCCGCCAGTCCGCCCCGCAGGCCACACCAGTCCTAGGCCAGACCACGCCGCCACCAGTCGCACCGGAACCGGTCTGAGAGCGTCGCGCCGCCGCGCCGCCCCAACCCGCTGCACCCGCGATAAGCAGTACGACGCGCAGCACGACGGGCGGCCGCCGCCGACACATGGCGCGAGAGCGGCGGTGACTCCAAGACCCTCCCCCGCACAACGCATCCCGGTCGCCGCCATGGGGGCCCGGAAGAAGGTGAGCCGCGGCCCTGTTTCGCCACCAAAGCCCTCGTCCCGCCTCGTCCGTCTCCAGCGAGGCGGGCGATGGCGGTCTGTTGATAGGGCTGCGTGCGAGGGGAGCAGGCCTCTTAGCTTTCTTGCCGCCTTGTTTGCACACGAAGCGTCCCGCGGCCCCGGCGTTCCGGCGTTCCGGGAAGACGCCTTGAGCCCCTTGATCCCCGCAGCCGGCCGGCCCGTCCCGGTCTAGTCCGCCGCGGCCGCTGCTCAAACATTTACCCGGCGATCCGTGAACACACAAATCGGAGATGCTGTAGGAAAACACCGAAAGTCCCGTTCGCCGCCAAGCATAACATTATTCCGGCCCTCCAACGGGAACAAAACAACACGGCTTCCCGTCGGCACGCGAAACGGACCCAGCGGCAAGGCCGGGCAAGGCGCGACCGGATCTGTCCTATACGACGAGGTGCGCGACGAAGGTAAACGTAAACAGCAGGTGAATGGGCGAGAGCCTGCGTGCGTGTAACGACTGTCACGCGCTCATTCATTGTCACTGTCTCGGCGGGGGGAGGGGGCGGGGGACTTTGGCCGGTGCGCGCGCGGGGACGTTGGAAGTCGCACAAGGGCGTTTGACGTTTTGGTGCGCGGCGGAAGGAAGATTGCGCGATGCGCAACCAGGACGAGGGCGGCAGAGCACCCCCAGCACACGGTCCGCCGGTCGCCCGCGGCAAATGTTCAGCTGGCACTCGGCACCAGGCGTGCTGGCAGCGCTTGGCGGGCCGGGGCGGGCTGTGCGGCTGGGTGGCACCATGGCGACGGTAAAAACACCAAAGATGGACGTTACAATTTTGGAGCAGGCTAGTATTGCGCAGTGCAGCGGAACAGACCTAAAGGGTGGCCGTCCCTTCCCTCACGCGCCTCGCACCCACCAACGGCAGCCATAGGCAGCCATAGGCAGCGGAACAGCCGGAACACGCGGCGCAGGTGTGCAGGCTGGTCCCGCGGCCCCGCCCCCGCCGCCCCTGCCGGCCCTGCCGCTGGCCGAGGCGGTGACCGTGGCCCCCGCGGCCTACCTGCACGCTTCCAATTAAACTAAATATAAACACGCAGCGTGAAGCGCTCAGCGAGACCGAGACCGCAAAGGCCTTGCGCCATGTGCCCCGTGCCAACAGAATTATCAATTTAGAAAATGTGCATTTCGCTGCAACAATGTGTGTGTAGGCCTTTCAGTCTCTCGAAGCGCCCGGCGGGTAGGCCGCGCCGCCGCTCCGGAGTTTCCGTGCGGCCTACCTGCCGGGCGCTCCATTACCATTACCATTAAGGGCTCCAGCGGCCAGCGCGGCCAGCAGCGTGGCCAAAAGCGCAGCGCGCAGTGGCCCTGCCTAGCCCTGCCCCCTGCCCTGCCATGCGGCCGGCGCCGCGGCGCACCCATGGGCGCGCCCTCGCCCTCCTTCTCCTTCTGCTCGTCCTGCTCCTCCTCTTCCTCCTCCTTGTCCGCGGCTAATGGACTTGATAACGGTTCCACTAGTAGAATGGCTCGGGCGGCGAGGGCGGCGAGGGCAGGACGTCTGGCGTGCGGCCAGCTGCACGCACTACGCCGCATTACGCCGCACGCAGCCTCGCGGTGGTGGCGGTGGTGGTGGCGACGGGCGTGGGAGTGGGAGGAGCGTGTCCGACACGTTTCAACGAAACTCGAACCACACTGTGTGAGCAGAAACCGATCCCAACAATGTGGCCAGGGGCCAGGGGCCGGGGGTAGTTTGAGCGGGGACAGCGTGACCACGCCACTGCGACTGCGGATCGCAAGAACCATGCCGTTGGCCCGAAGCAAGCAGTGCCATCGAAATGCATGCGGCACAGCGAGCGCGGCACCACCCAGTACCGCAGTACCGCCAGAGTACCGCCCACCACTCCCCGCCACAAACAAAGTGCAGGCCTCGATGTCTTTGCCGCTACCCGGTCCAAAATAAAGCGTCATATACACCCGAGTGGCTCGGGGGAAGGGGGCTGCGAGACAGCCTCGCATAATAGAGAACATTTCTCGAGAAATGCGGAGTGTGTGTGTGTGTGTGTGTGTGTGTGTGTGTGTGTGTGTGTGTGTGTGTGTGTGTGCGCGCGGCGCCCACTCGCTCTCGCGGCCTGTTTCACAATTCTTACTACACCGGCAGCATTATTTGTCTGGGCGAAGCGCGAAGCGCCGAGCAGCTGCGTAAAAGAGCGGCGGGGATCAAAAGAGTGTCGAGGACACCGCGAGACTTTGATTTTGCGGCGGAGACTGAGGAGGCACTGGGGCCAGCAGGACGATTCCGAAAGTCGTTTTCGTCGCTGCATCCCTCTCGCGCTTATGGGTGTGGGTGCGAGAGAGACAGCGACGGACTGTGATATCGATCAACGCCGACCCGGTGCACTGACGTCATACCGGTGACGCCGACGACGACTCAAGATGCAATTTCTCATTATTTTTCTTCCGGTCTAAACCACGTAAAGGCCCCACCCACGCTTGCGTTGCTTACTTTTTTACGTACGTTTATGGCAAAGGTATCATCTGCTGATGGCTGGAGGTGTCCGCAGGCTCCAGCCGCCGCCCCCGGCGAGACTTGAGGCGCCGTGCCGCCGTCCGCGCGACACAAAGCGAGTGCCGTGGCGAGTGCCATGGCGAGTGCCCAGCGCAGTCACACACTGGGCGCCGGGCCAAGCCACATCTCGCCGCGTCCGCACGCCGCCTGCACGCCGCCCGCCCGCCGCCCGCCCGCCGCGCCGCCCGCACGCCACCTGCCCACGTCGACGGCACGCTCCACGCAGGCCAGCACCCCGCCGCGTTGGCCAGGCTTCGTCTTTCTCACCTCGAGACGCCGTTATGGCACCTGGCTTGAAGGGAGCCGCCGAACACCTGGGCGGCAATTGGCTCCGAGAGGGACAGGGGAAGGGGGGCTTGGACACCCTCCGGGCACCCTCCTGTCACCCTCACCCGAGCCACAGCCATGCTGATGACGGGGGACCCGCAGGGCCTACGGCTCTTAGCCGTTGGAGGCCTACCGAAATAGTCCGCCGAGGCATTGATAGGTTTTTCTTTTCGACTCGGCGGCCCTTGGTCCCTTGGCGCTGGCCGCGTCTGCGTCTGAGTCTGCCGGTGTGTCGCCGTGGGGCTGCGGGTGGCGGCACGGCGGTATGGGGCGGGGCGGGCAGGCGGGGAAGTCCGCCGCGCTGCCGGCGCGGCGCGGTCCGACGGGGACAGTGGACAGTGTCTTGGCTGCTATCGGCGCCCGCGTGTGCCAGTGTGCCTGCTGCTGCGGCCTGCGCGTTTGCCCCGCGTGCGTTAGTGCGTGTGGCCTGTCGGCAGAGGTGCGCGTCAAACTTTGGGCATTCCCTCGCGGTGCTCGCGTCCGTGCCCTCCCAATAAGCCCGCCACCCTCTCCCTCTTTGCTCTTGCGGAGTGTCCCCAGAGTGTGACGAGGAGCCGTCCAGGACGGCGGGGCCCGGATTGGTGGTACGATACCGGGCAATCTTGCTAGTGGTAGTGGATGCGACAGCAAATACCAGTGTGGGCGTCTGCAGCATCTGTAGAAACGACGCCCTTGGCCCCGCCCCGCCCCGCCCCGCCCCGCCCCGCCCCGCCCCGCCCCGCCCCGCTTCGCCCGGGATGGAACCTCTTGGCCACGCTTCTACACTCGACGAGTTACGCGTCTTTTGGCCACAGCGGCGGGTCGTTTTGATGGATCGCCCAGTGTCGCGCGGCGGGGCGGGGGGTTGGCGGGGGGTTGGCGCGGCGGGGCGGGGCGGGGGTTGCCGGGTTGGGTGGGACGCGCGGCCGTGAGACGGCGGGGCGGCGGGGCGGCGCCAGGGAAAATGCCCCCTCGTCAGCTGTGTGCAGCAGACATAACACATTTGCAGAGCAACAGGAAGACCCAAATTTGTGGGGAACCAAGTTCAATCAAAAGCCACGTCGGCTAAACCATATTATTGTGTTTTTCGTGTGTGACTCACTTTTAGATTTAATGGTTGTAGGTTAATTAAGGCTAAGCCTATTAAAAATGTGGGGTGTGGTGCTAAGACGGTGATTGCCAACAGGAGCCCACAGCCTGGTGCTGGCTGTGCTGGCCTACTGGCATGGGACTGTGCCAAGTTGGGCATCCACGACAGCCATGTCGAGCAAATAGGCAGCCGCATAGATCCTGCAAGACACCAAGAGCGGCTTTTAACGCGAGCTGAACACGCCACCGCAAAAATGGGCGACCGAGGGACTGGCAGAACGCAGCGAGATGTGAGTTTCGAACAGAGTCCTTTTCCATTTTCTCAGATTTGAAGCCATACGCGAGGTAGTGGGATGGGACAGAGAAGCCTCTTTGGGTTACCATCAAAAGTGAATGCGTGACAAAACGTTCCGAGGCTTGTTTGTTGCTGTTATGCTGATTGTTTTTGCTTTTCTGGGCCGGAGAAAAAATGGGGGGGGGGAGACTTTTACTGACATGTAAAATGAAACCCCACCACCGTCCCCTCCCCATTGGCGCGCAAGTCGAAGGCCGCGGCCGGCATGTTGAAGCTCGACATGTCTTCGGGCTGGCTTTAGGCTTTTGTTTATGAAATCGCCCCTCCCCCCCTTTCCTCATCCGCCACGTCAGTGTTTGCAGGGTTTGTCGGGGCGGTCGTCACCAGCCGCAGCCCCCTCCCCCAAACACGCCTCGGGCTCGCTCTAGCTCGCTCTAGCTCGCTCTAACCCCCTCGGGCCGTACGGTGGTGGTGGCCGCTCGCCACTGTTCACGCCCCGCATGGATCTATTTTCACTTTTACGATCGTTGCAAAGGAACAAAAGAAGAGAGGGCAGGGGACTGCTGCCTGCTGAAAGGCTAAGGCTGAGGCAATGCAAGGCTTGCGCAAGCCGTGCCGTGCCGTGCCGTGCAGCGCATCGCTCGCACCGCGCATAACGATGTCAGTGTCGCGCGATTTATACATTTTGCCGCCACACGTTGGCCGCCCTGTTTTCTGGCAGCCGCTGGCATTGTGCGCTGCGGGGACCGACGGGGACCGACGGGCACCGACCGGGACCGCCCCTAAACCCCCTGCACCCCCTATGCCACTAAACCGCGGGCGGGCGGCGGAGGGTCATCCTCAAATTGATGATATTATTTTCGGCCACCCCTCTGTTTGGGGTTCAGCAGGGCGGTAGAAGAGTCTGTGCACTGTTCCTCATGACAGCGATCTTTTGTTTCAGTCCAAGACGGGCAAGAAGCACAAGCGGCAGCCCAACCAGCACCCCAACGACGACAACAACAACAACAACAACAGTAGCAATGAGGACCCCGACGACCCGAACTGGGACTTGCAGGGGAGGCCCTATAGAGTCAAGATTTCACCCATCATGGGTCGGTAAGAAGACGGAGGCTATCCGTGACACCTGACAGAAAGGCTCGCTTGTTTGTTTTGTTTAAAACGCACTGCCTGCCTGCACCTGCCACAGGTACTTGGTGGCCGCGACGGACGTGGCCGCCGGAGACCTCATCCTGCGCGAGGACGCCCTGGTGGCGGGGCCCTGCCAGAACGCCAAGCCCGTTTGCCTCGGCTGCCTCAAGCCCTTCGATGGCGAAAACTACATTAGGTGAGACTTGTTTCCCCGAGCGAGCCGCCAGCGTCCATTTGTGGAGGGGGAAGGGCGGGGAGGCGGAGAGGGGAGGGTGTTCCAGCTCCAGGGGCCAGCGGGTTGCCTACGCTCGACTCCGCGGGCGTACAAGCCCAAGGGGGAGGGGAGGCGTCTATGCTGGCGCACTGGGCCTCTGCAATGTAGTACATAACATTCCCCCTCGTACCGGTCTGGAAACCGTGAAGGGAACTTTAACGTGTGCTTCCATGTTTGTGTTGTCAGGTCCTCTGAGAGTGAAGACTGTCATAGGTACGCTCGCGTCATGATATAGTGAAAGTGATGGTAAAACTGTTTGTGTTTGGTCGGTTTTATTTTTTATCCCTTGTGTGCAGTGAAAACGAACCGAGATCTCTCCCCTCAATACCCCGTGAAACTTTCATTTTGGACCTCCTCATTAACATTCGATCCTGGATGACACTAGTGGACTGTTCATGCCCTGTTTTTATCCGACAGCTCCAGCATGTTACCTCATTACATTCTCGTTTTGACTGGTTGATTCCACCTACCCTGTCGTACCGTGGCGCATGTCCCTGAGGAGACAGTGTACATTTTGCCCGTACAACTCAAAACTCACTGTACATTGCACCTGTTTTTGTTTGTTTTGTTGCTCCTCGCTCCTCGTCCCTGTTACCGTGTTACCTGTCATCCTCCCCAAGCGAACGCCACACACGTCGTCCGCAAGCATCTCCAGCCTCACACTTCTCTGCCCACCTCCTATTAACACAAGTTGTACATACCGTGGCGAGGGTAACGTAGGCTGAGCCTGGTCCCGGCCAACGCGCTAACGTGTCGCCCTTTCGCCGCGGTGCATGGTGCAGGTGCATGGGGTGCCAGTGGCCCATGTGCAGCCCGGCGTGCCCGGGGCTGCAGGACGCCAAGGGCCTCACGGGCCACACGGACGAGGAGTGCGCCGCGCTGTCCGCCGCGGGGCCGTCGGGGCGGCGCGTCATGAACCTGCAGGCCCGCACCCCGCTCTACAACGTCATCGTGCCGCTGCGCATCCTGCTGCTCGAGAAGCAGGACCCCGTCCGCTGGAAGGCCGTGCAGAGGTCAGTTCAACTCCCCGGGTTCAATAACCGCACGGGCAACCGCCACCAAAATCTCTCAGCAATGCGCTGATTTTTATTTTCCTGTTTCCGTCGGGGTAGGATGCAGTCCCACGACGAGGTGCGGCGGAAAATAGCGTCGGTGTGGCAGGCCAACCAGCTGGGCGTGGTGGACCGGATCCGCGGCGAGTTCGGCCTGCAGCACTTCTCCGAGGAGGAGATCCACAGCGTGTGCGGCATCCTGGAGGTGAGGCACGCGGCGACGCGGCACGCCCCAAACAAGCCATTGGTTGACACGTTGACACGTTGACACGCGTTGACGCGTTGGTGACGCCGGCAGGTGAACGCGTTCGAGGTGGGCGACGGCCTGCGCGGCCTGTACGACAGGGCGTTCCTGCTGGCCCACGACTGCACCCCCAACACGTCGCACGCCGACGACGAGACGCGCGCGCTGGCCGTGCGGGCGTCCGTCGACATCCCCAAGGGCAGCCTCATCACCCTGAGCTACGCCTACACCATCCAGGGCACGCTCAAGCGCCGCGAGCACCTCAAGGAGAGCAAGTTCTTCGACTGCTGCTGCCCGCGGTGCTCCGACCCCACCGAGCTGGGCACCATGTGCTCGGCGCTCGTGTGCCCGCGCTGCGGCCGGCCCGCCGTGCTGCCCGTGGACCCCCTCAAGGCGGACTCGCCCTGGCGCTGCTCCGCCGGCCTGGCGGACGCCACGCCCTGGCCCGCCGTCAAGCAGGCCGTCAAGCAGGCCGCGCTGCCGGCCGCCCCCTGCCCGGGCTACGAGATGCCGGCAGCGCAGGCCAGGGAGCTCATCGACAAGTGAGTAAAGCCCGATGGCCATAGAGTATTTTGGTTTTGGCGAGATGGGGAATGACCGGCTGTCGCAGGCTGACGGACGAGGCCGAGGCGATAGACCCCAACGACGTGGCCGGCCTGGAGGCCTTCGTGGCCAAGTACTCCCCCAGGCTGCACCCCAACCACTACCACCTGCTGGGCGCCAAGCACTCGCTGTCCCAGGTGTACGGCAAGGTGCATGGCTACCTCATCCACCAGCTGCCCGACGACCTGCTCGAGAGGAAGCTCAACATCTGCAAGGACATCCTCAGGGTCTTCGACATCCTCGAGCCGGGCGTGTCTCGACTAAGAGGTTCGGGCGGCGAGCGGCAAATTAGTGTAAGCGAGTTGGATAACTGTGTGGCTTTGAATCACGAGTGTTTGGCTTTGCAGGGATCACTCTGTACGAGCTGCACGCGCCCATCATGATCCTGACGACCAGGCACTTCGAGGCTCGCAGCATCTCCCGCAAGGACCTGCGCTTGCGACTCCGCGAGGTGGCGGCGTGCCTGGAGCAGGCCGCCCACATCCTGAGCTTCGAGCCGGAGTGCTCGTCCGAGGGAGCCATGGGCCGCGCCGCCCAGGAGGCCCTGCAGAGAGTGCGCCAGTGGCAGTGAGCCCAGCCCGAGCCGGACTTCGGGCAGGGAGTGAGGTGCTGCACGACATGGGCTTTGCGTGTCCAGGACTTGCAGTGGCAAGCGTTGTTGGTGTAGCGGGCACCGCCCGCACCCCAGTGGCATTCAAGAGGCCGTCGTTCGAGGGTTGTTGCCTCTCGTCACCTTCCAACCCCAAAAGAACTGAATGGATGTATGTTAAGAAAATGTGTCAATCCCATTAAAGATTCGTTTTTTTTTTAATTGTTGGATCTCCAGTATACTTTGCCTTGTACTTGTTAAACTTCAGGAAACAGAACTGAACTGCAAAGGTAGAGGGGATGTAGTGACACAACAGGGAAAAAATATTATATCTTGGTAAACAAATATAATTGTTTAATAAATTTTGTATTTCTTAATGTGTCATATTAGCAAAACCAATCATTAATAGGACTACAATTGAACTGAGAAGCATTGATAATAGGACACATCAACTTAAACTAAAAGGAAATAAAACTAACATACAAAATAAAAGAAGGTATTGTCTCAGGATGACTAACGAGGGAACGAAAAAAGGCTGTCAATGTTAAATTTGTCTTTGAGCCACAGCATCACCTTGACACAAAATTCTATTGTAATTATTCAAACAAAGTATCATAATTGATTGAGATTCATGCATGAACATAGATTCCTGAACGAACATAATGGAGTATGGTCACAAGCTTTCAGAACCAAGTAAATGCATAAAATAGATCACAATTACACCTTTTCCAAATCTAAAATCATTGGGAATAAAAATTCAGATTTAGTGGGCATTAAAGACCACATAAAAATAAAAAAAAAATATTGATTCAGGCATAATGTCCACGTCCCCTGCATTTTTAACACAAAACAGAAATACTGGTATTTTGATTTCATAGACTATAACAATACCATCATTAGCATTTTTTCTTTAATTGAAGTCGTTTTTTAGCATCTTGTCGCTTCCTCTCAATCTCTTCTGGAGTACAGATGGTGCTTGTCTTACAAAGAGAAAGTGTCTTTTTTGGTACCTGTTGATTGCTTGCACCAATTGCTTTCTCTTGTTTTTTGGGAAACATCTCTGCAAAACAAAATAGGAAGATTAGACAAAGTGTGGTAACGTAAACAACCATTCAAAATTAAATATGCTGCAAAGCCAAATGACTCACTGTTTGAAAATTTGTTCACAAGAGGTTGTTCTTTTGCAGAATGTGACTTAGTCTCCTTTAATTCTCGGATCGTTCTCTCACGCTCTTGAGTTGCCTCTTCTGAAGATGAATATGGAAAGAAATGTGTTGCTAATTACATAATTTACAATGATACAAATTTTAAAAATAACAACTATTATTGCTGTATTACAAAGGAATCAACAACAACAATGCAATATACTCACTTTCCCAAACATCAATCAAATCCAATAAATCTGGTGACACAAAGTCGTCGTCCTCTCCTTTGTCATCTGGAATAAATAAGTTACACATATAAACTGTGTTTACACAAAAAGAAAATTCTAGAGGTAATTTTACAATCATGACAAAAAAATTAAAATAAATAAACCCCCACACAAGAGGAAACAACACATAAAATTTTCTAATGTAAGAAGTGGTTGTCATAACTGATATGAAATGTAACACTCACCTGCCACTTCAGTAAAGGTCCTAGCATTTTCTTTAGAAACTTTATCTGCAGATTTAGCAACTTCTTTCTCTTCAAGTTTCCCAATGGATAACATCACAGCCTCATCTATGTCATCAAACTCTATCTTGGATGAAACTTTATTGTTATTATTTATGGCTTGTGGCTCATGTCTAGGAGCAACTGATGTGAGATTCTCTTCATACAAATCATTAATTCTACGACACACACTTTTGGGCAACGGAGTAGTCGACTTTTTAGAGCTAAGACTGAGTCGATTTCTTCTTTTCCCACTAGAGAGATTAAATCCTTTATCCTGAGGTTTTGGAGTCTTAAAGTCATTTTGTTTTAAGCTCTGCTCTATGTCTTGGGTAAATTTGAGCAGGTCTGCACCCAATGAATCATCTAGAAGATCATCAAGGCTGTCCTTTACTTCTTCTTCAGAGTTATCCTTAGAAGAACTTGGTGTTGTTGTCGCACTGGCTGAAGACTCTACACTCTTCGAACATGTAGTCCTTCGCATGGATTCTCTAAAAGATGTAGGTGTGACCAGCACTTCCATTTTTCTTCGAAAGGATGGAGGCGATGCTACAGGTGATGTGGTTTCTGGTATACCTATGAGCAATTAGGACTTATTATTGTTAATAATACTTAAATAATACATGACAGTCCTAGAGTTAAAATGCTTGTATCTTACCTTTACATCCCGCTGCTAGGGATTTTAATTCCTTGACAAATACAGAGTCATCAAAATTGTCAGCCTTTCGGTTCCGTATCAGACGTCTTGGTCGACTACATTCTAAGAGTTGAACTCCTTTAGATTTTTTGGGGGCAGGTCGTTCAACAAAGCGAATTGTGGGCTTCTTGTTACCACTTACTGAAAGAGCAATAAGAGATTCAGTATGAAGAACTAATTTTCCAAGGAATCAAAATGAAAGAATATTGATACTCACTGTGGCTTGACCAGTCCCAACCCACAGAAAAACATTCTTGTGAACTCAGAAAATCGGGACTGCTACGATCATCTAGGATATCACACATTTCATTACTCTCTTTTGGAGTGTTATTGACAGAATTTGTTGGTTCTGATTCTGAAAAAAATAATAGAGCTAGTTGAAAAGGCTAGTTGAACTGTCGAAAGAAACAAAACTGAATAACGAAATCAACTTAGAGAAAGATCATGGAGACAAGCTACTAACGTAGGGAGACGCAAGGTCCCGCTTCCTGTCACCAGGTCATGTAGTTTGGAGGGAGTGAGACAGACATACTTCGGAGTTTCTTTTTAACACTTTACATTGAATTGGCGATACTTTCGTCACATCCGACTACTCTTATGATAGTTTCTATCCTGTAGGATGACGAAGATGACATTTGTCACTCGAAATATCATCGACATAAATAAAGTCTTCAGTTTCGTAGGTTAGAAAATCGGACCTCTCTCTCGCGAGATCTGACATGACCTGGTGACACGCAGTTCTCGTGGTTTATTTCAGGGAAATATTCAACCGATTGCCAAATAAAAGGTATTAACATCATCAATGATCCTTCCTGATTCCATAGACCAGATAAAATTGGATGATTATCGCAATTAAATAGTTTGAAAGTGTTGAAATACCGGAGGGTGTCCCAAACCTTGCGTCTCCCTACGTTAGTAGCTTGTCTCCATGGAAAGATAATAAAATATCACGAAGTTTTACCTTGTTTGCTCCTTTTCAGCTTTTTCTTGTCCATGTTAATGAGTTACTTAAGCATGTATTTCACGTAAACTGCTACATTTTCTCCAAGTTCAAGCAAGCCTGAAAATCAAAATGAATGAAAACAAAGCCGACAACCATATTAAGATTCAGATCCGTAGTTGAAAGTTAAGACTAGGTTAAGATTCAGATTGGTATAGCCTCATAACGCCCTCCCCCCTCCTCTTCCTTCTTCTTCTTCCTCGTTGGAGTCTCCGCAAACGTTTATTTACATATACATTTCTGTATTCCTCTTTGTATAATTTAACTGTCTCCTATTTTTTGTGGCCAGTAGTAAGTATAATTCGGTTATGCTGACTGTGTTCAGATGTATCCATTGATCTATGCTCTATTTACATCTACTATACTGTTCGAGACTAGGTTATGTTTCACATGGTTACAATGTGTTTTGTCTTCTATGGGACAATTCATTGATGGGAAAATTCAAAGTTGACTATGTCATTACACTTGGTCGTAACCAAACTAATATCCTTTAATCATATAAAATTTTCACACCAAGCTTGTGTTAAAGCGGTATTTTTGCTAACTTTTCTCATAATTTTCCTAGCATGTGGAATCAGATGTAGAGTACGATTGTGTTTGAAAAATATATCGGTTTCCACCTACCTGAGTTTAACTTATTCAACCATCTTTTCAATTCAGAGCCTTCCTCCATAATGTGTGCCATTGCTTCTAATATTTGGCAGAGGTATCTATTATGGTTTGCACATGATTTAGTTGATTTTCGAATGGCTGTGAGTATTCGGTTCTAACTTGTACTCAATTTTAGATCATCTATGATTAAATACTTAATTGAAAATAATTTTCAGGAAATTAAGTCCTTAATTTCTGTTTTGGACATCAATATGCGTTGGGTGGAAGAACCTGCTGATCACGTAAATATGAACTTGCTTCAATGCCTACTGCTTTAGACTTTATTTTAAGCATACTTTAAATTTTTCTGTTAGAGCTTTTCGTTGCAAAAAACAAAAATGAATTTAAGAGATTAATTGGTACTGCCGCAAAATCAAAGTGGTGTCTCCACTTGTGGCAAAGAGGCACTAACAGATTGTTTATGTTTTTAGCCGTTTTGGATTGTTGAGGTGCCTTCAGAAGAATGCGTCAAAAAATTGGCATCTAGGTCCATTTCCTTGAGAGGTGTGATTGAATTATGGGCTCATTCTAATAACATAAGCACCTTACATCAGCAACTCAAAGCTCTAAATCCTAATGTGTACCAACCATACCTCCAACCTCATTTATCATTTAAAGTTGAGGTAGAAACTTTCAGTAATCATCTTAGCTTACCAGAACTTGTTGACAAAATTGAGGTACAGGTATATACAACTTTTGTGACAGTGATGTAGTGAAATGAAGAGCTGAGTGATAATGAATTTACTGAAGTCTTTCAGTTATTTACCTATTGTGGGACCCGTTAATCTAAAAAATCCGGATGTCAAACTATGGTTTATGGAATATTATGGACTTGAACCCAACAATATTCCAGAATTACCGTATCAATATTATTTTGGCCGATGGGTAAGGTTTAATTTATTTTTAAGCAACAATAAAATGTAAAATTAGAAAAACTGGATTTCATAAATGACATTTACTCTTAATTTCTAGATTACCGATGGTCAACGGCATTTGATGAAAAAATTTTCTCTGAAGACACGGAAGTTTATAGGAAATACCAGTATGGATGCACAAATTTCTGTGCTGATGGCAAACCAAGGAAAAGTTAAACCTGGGGATTTAGTTTTAGATCCCTTTGTTGGTACAGGTGTGAGATGACCTTAGTGAATTGAGGAAAAGATATTTCCCAGCATGCTATCATGCTAACTTTGCTGTTTTGTATTCAGGCTCTCTTCTTGTTCCTGCTGCACATTTTGGAGCATATGTTCTTGGAACAGACATTGACTATCTTATATTACATGCAAAAACACGACCAAGCCGTATACAACAAAAGGCAAGTATGGTACAGAAATCATGCCAATACATCTCATCAAGACAAGTAAAAGATGATTATGCGGAGATGAACTGTTAAAAATTGTAAACCTTGGTATCATTCAGGTTCGAGCTTCGGATGAGAGCATACAAGCTAATCTTCGTCAGTATGGTCTAGAGAATCAATACATTGATGTAGTTGTTGCTGATTCATCACTGCCCCTATGGGTAAAAGAATTTGAACTAGATGCAATCATAACTGACCGTGAGTATTATTCCATTCTGTCTGAAAAATATTTCAATCTTTTAGTAGGTACATTATTTTCACTCTCTAAGCAATTTTTTTTTGTGTTCCAGCTCCTTATGGTATTCGTGAGCCTACAGAAAGAGTTGGAACCCATAAGGTACCCCAAATAACAGAGCAACAAGCACCAACACATATACCTTCCAAAATTGACTATGGTCATGATCACTTATATCAAGACTTACTCAATTTTGCTGCCAAGCATTTAAAATTAGGAGGGAGGCTTGTCACATTTATTCCTATTCTACGGTAGGTAGTATTCTCCACTCACGCCCTTTTGAAAACTCTTGAAAAGTGACCCTGATTTGTTTTTATTCTAGTGAACTGTACAACGAAGAGAATATGCCCAAGCACCCATGTTTGGAATTGGTGGCCAATTCTGAGCAGGTACTGTCTGCTTATGTTTGTAGACGCTTGCTGACTTACGAAAAAGTATCCAGACCAAGTGACTGCATGGTAAGAGTTTCATATTTTCAGCCACCATATAACTGTTCATTTTATTTCATTTGTGAAAAAAGTATAAAATTTTGTTTGCAGGCTGGAGAAAGAACATTTGACCCCAGCCTTGAAAACTTCCGAGATAAATACTTTAACCATTGTGAAGATTCTCGACAAGTGCGCCGGCAGAAACACTACAGCAATATTGGACTCAGAGACTCTAATAGCAAGACAGATAGAATTGCACCTGAAAGTGACACATGATGAATAACTAGTGATATGAAATGTGAATGGCTGTGAGATATTTTCTAGATAGTTATCATTTGTTGACCCTAGCACATGGTTTACATTAGAGCTGAGTGGGTCATGCAGTGATTCTTCCAAACTATGATTTACAAAAAAACAACAACTTGTATTTTATTTATAGACACTTGATGTACAAAATCTTTCAATAATTATAAACAAATTTTCAATTTTTTTTTTGTCTTTAAAGAATTGCAACCATAAAACAAGTCAATTAAAATGGATAATGAAGTTAATTGAATGCACTCAAACAAGGCATTGACTCCAAGTAGTGATCTTAAAAGATAGTTGTATAAATGTTTCATGCAAACAATTTGTTGCAGTGAGAGTATTTTTCTTGCTTACTGTTTATGACTATGCTGAAAGGCCACTGATTTGAAGGGCACCCAACACACTATCCAATGCTTCGAGCTCTTTCTCAGCAGAATGTCCTGCTGCTTCTTCATATCTGTAGGAAAATAGGCTCATTAAATTAGAAATGCAACATTTAGTCAATGAACTGATTATTTCATGGTATTTGGCCAATACCCTTCTAATATATTTACCTGTTACGAATCTGCTGACTAGCCCATGCAATCAATTTACTGCATTCCTTTTTTTTCGGTGCTGTCAACCCTTTTGTCATTGTTGAAACGTTGGTGGCAGCCTAGGGACATTTTCAAACATGTTAGTTTGTTAAAGTTTAAAATTAAATAAATTAGTTATTTTTGTTTTCTTTTTAACACCAACATTATTGTGCTAAACATAAGTGCATACCAAAAGGAGTCCATAGAGAGCTCTCATGTTGTTCTGGTTAAGCTTCAAAGCCAGACAGTAATGTGCACGAGCCACCTCTATATTTTCCAAACCTCCCTGGTAAAAGTGTGAAAAGTAGATCCATGATCAATGGAACAACAGTATCAGTTTAAATTAGATTTAACTTATTTCATGCAACTCACCTGGGTGTATTTAATATCTGCATAACGTTGATGTACAAGATGATTATGTGGATTATGAAGCACTAGCTCCTCCATACAAAAGGCAGCCTTTGCATAATCTTGCTCAAGAAGGTACAACTCACATAGTTCTTGCCAAGCCTCTTGATCACTCATAAACCTAAAAAATGTTGATAAACAATTGTTACAAGTTTATGAAACTCAATTATTGAAAGAAGTAAGGAGTATGGAGGCCTGCTGTATACATTGTTTGGGGTATGAAACATGTTTTACCTTTCATGGTATACATACGTACTTTTTTAGGTACTCATTCAACTCTTTGACTGCATCAACAATTTTCCCCTTGGCCTTTAAAATTGCAACTCTTCTTTTTCGAGGAGCAGCATTGGTTTCATCTCTTTTGATGATCTGATCTAGCAATTCAAGAGCTTCATCGTACCTGAAATCATTGAAAATACTCCCATAAATATCTACTTACATAAATCTTAAGATCTGATTTCAGTGACCTACTTCTCCAATGCTTCCAATTTCATAGCCTGTAATTTGCGTACGCGCATGCTCGATGGAAATTCATTTGCCAGAGAAACCAAACAGATGTCCACAACATCAATACGATTACAGTCTAGAGCAGCAATGCAAACTTGCTCCCATACAAGAAGCCCTGCACATAAGATAATAAGTGGAATGAGTTAAAAAAAGACAAACATAAAAGTTGGAAAGGGTACAGGTAGTTGAGATACAAACTTTCATCTCCTAATTTGTGGATGTTGCTTTGTAGATGAGTATCCCACAGGTCAACTACTTCTAAACTCCGTCTTTCATTTTCTTCTCTCCACAATCGCAACTGGTCTCGAGCTTCTGCAAACAAAATTACCGAAAACAGGTTGTGAACATTTTGTGAAAACTTGTAGAAAACAACAGAAAGCTACATAAAAAAAATAATTAAACATTTCACAGGAGCAAATTGGTAAATTATTTAGAAAATGAGGCAAGAAGACTTTGTGAATAGGAAGGAATTTTGTCGGACTCAAAACACTGTAGGATCAGGGCGGGGAAGAACTGGACAGGGGAAGAACTGGACACGCCACATTTAACTTCAAATACCGGAGGCACAGGAAAAACAACTATCAAAAGTTGTTCCGTGGCATCAGCGGTTCATTACATGACAGTTGTCAGGCCAGTACATACGGCATTTGAAGTTAAATGTGGGGTGTCCAGTTCTTCCCCTGTCCAGTTTTTCCCCGCACTGACCCTAAGTATAATCAAATTTCGCAGACTCGATTATAAAATTCCTCGATTCACTTTTATGATTCTTTAATAAAGAAATAAGTACTCCAGTGAAGGAGGTTACACAGTGCCGGATTCTTTTCTGCTAGTGTTTACACCGACGGTTCCTTACGTGCCTCACTTTTAAAGCACAGCTGTAAGAAGTAACATACCTCCCCAACCCATTTCTGATGACGAATTCCCTTTCCTCTCTTTCTGAACTGTATGAAGGGGCCACGAACTAGTCGCGAAAATTAAATCCAAATTACAAGTCACGAACTGAACTAACCAACCAACCAACCCAACCCCACATCTCACTTCCTGTAGTTCCTCAGGTGGCCGACAGAGCTCGCCATGCACGAAACACCTTCTGCTGGCTAGTTCACCACGTCAACAGGCGAGGGGGAGTAGAGGCCCGAGGTGGGCTCTAAATGCAGGGCCGCTTTGTGGGCTTATTTTCAGCCTTGTTAAGCTCTAGAGAGGCAAAAACTTGGGCTTGGATTAAAGCTAGAGGCTTGAACTATGCCCATGTGGATTTATTTTAAAACATTAGGGTAGAAAATATTTGCACTCTCCTTACAAAGTCGTCACAACACCTTTCTGACCATGGTCGGTGATTCGAAGTCACCGCCTGCTAACGGCTTAAAGAAGTCCGACTTTGTAAGGAGAATGCAAATAATTTCTACCCTAATGTTTTAAAATAAATGCACGTGGTCACAGTTCAAGCCTCTAGCTTTAATCCAAGCCCAAACTTTTGCCCCTCTAGAGCTTAACAAGGCTGCAAATGAGCCCACAAAGCGGCCCTGCAGATAGCGCCCGACGCGGATCTTCGCCAGACACTGCAGTCGACCCCCGCCGCTGCTTCCTTTTTTGTCATTTTAAGGTTTAAAACCGGCTAATCCGTGATAAAAGGGGTTCGATTTACTCAAAAATGTCTTACTGAGTGCGCCTCAATATATATGTTTGCTTACATATCCTTTAATTCTGAGTATTTTCGTTTCTCCAAATTCCTACCGACCATGGTCAGAACGCCAGGCCCAGCGTCCGTTCCCGAGCCGAAGGCATTTATAATTCTCCTGACGTCAACACAAGATGTCGTTCCGCGTTCCGCGTTCCCTAGTCTACGCCCATCGGGCGGGGTATCGTCGTCGGTAATCGGCACACCTCTCAAAGTTCTTGCAGACGCAGTCGCAGTCGTGTGTTGTGCTGTTTTTGTTGAGGTTAAACCCGCTGTCAGCCGGTTCCTTTTGGAGGTTGTACTTTTCTGGGCGCTGTACCGTCTCGAAGGCGACAGCAGTTGTTTAGCACTGCCCCGTGGAAGCACAAGAAGTGAGTACATTGTTGAATATTGCAAAACACGTTGACTGTTACGTTAATGTCTCTCTGGAGGATCGTGGGATGGATGATGTGACCTCAGAGCTAAATTTGTCTGCTGTGAGTCATGGGCTGTTAGAAATCGTATGATTGCCTACACAAACAAGCAAGGAGAGAAAAATCTACTGATGTATTGTCCCTGAATATGGTCCTTTTAATTACCCGGTTTAACCTCGTCAAAGCTTATCCCATTGCAATGTTTATATGTCATAGAACTTTCTCTACCAGTAAGTCTCATGGCATTTCTTTGAATTTGTAAATGTATTACGTATAATAGATTTTATTAATGAGGAAAACTGGGCGGTCTAATCTGTCAAATTTTTGTTCAAGGCAAGATATGTAAAAGTGAAACTGATTAAGTAATTAATTTTTAGTTGGTTCTTTTATTGTTCTGACAAATGCTAAGTAGAAATGTTTACGGACCTCAATTGTCAATTTACCGTCTCTAGAATTGTGCAGGGGAATCCCATGATGGATTTTGTTCATTCGAAAAGTGGAGATTTGTAGGGCCTAGGGCCTTTCTAGGGCCTTTCAAGTATAAATTTTGAACTTTCCAGAATATTGTTGTTTTGCTATGCATGTGGTGGCAGTCGAGCGCCAGGGTCCCTACAGTGTGAAGGCCGTCTTGAAGGCAGGCTGATGGCTGATGCCGCGCGCGTAGGGCCGTGTGGCCGTGGGGCCAGTGGGGCGTTGCGTTGTGCCGAAGGCTGCAGCTCTTTGACGTCCCGCGGCCCCGCGGCCCCGCGGCACAGAGCCCCGCACAGAGCCCCGCACAGAGCGCCGACTGGCGTGCCCCATCCCATCCTCCCATTGCTGCTTCCAATTACAGCAGACTGATTCCGAGGGTCGTTTTCGTCGCTCTGTCTGTCTCGTATCTTGACGGGACGCCCCATGGGTGCGAGAGAGACAGAGCGACGAAAACGACTCTCGGAATCAGTCTGCAGGGGTCGGGTCGCCGAGGGCCTCCCTGGTCACCCGGGTCTCCCCTTCAGACCGACTCCGACCGCGCCCAGTCCGTTTTCGTCGCAACTTTGTCTGTCCTTGTTGTCGCCACTGTTTCCCAAGTTGCCGCGCGGCTGCGTCGATGGTTACTCGGCTCGTGCCGAAATTAGCGCTTTCGAGGCAGTATTGGAGGCCGGGGGCGGGGGCTCGCCGGGCGCGGTGGGCGCGGGGCGCCGGCGGGACGGCGAAACGTCGCCCCTTTTCAGCACCAAAGTTGCTGTCAATTTCGATGGATGAAAGGAGCAATCTTGGCGAGGGCTCTTGAGGCGGCGACGGCGGCGTCCGGCTTCTCTCTCTCCCTCTCGCACCGATTGCCCGCTCTGCCCGCCCTGCCCGCCCTGCCCGCCCTCTCGTACCCTTGAACCCCCCTCCCCCCCCCGGTCCGCCCTATCAGCAGAACTACCTGAACGATCTGCTTGCCTCCCTTCCTCGCCGTCGAATGTGAAACGAAGCTCCCCATACGAGGTCGCGGAAGCGCGAAAGCAAGCGCGTCCCCATCTTTACTACTGCTGCCTCGAGGTACTTAAACGCAGGCAGAAAGACTAGACGCACTTCGTCTCTGAACGTGGCAGCCTCACAAGGCGAACACGGTCAGATTGACTTTGTCGTCGCCGCCACGCCGCGCCCCCTCCGGCCGTAGCGCCCCCCATCGTGGCCCCCCAGCAGGGCGAGCCTCCGGCACCGTGGCGGCGTGGCGGCACCGCGCCCTCCCTTGAATCGATACCCCCACTCCGCCCTTAAGCCGCATCCCCCCCTGCCCCAGGCCCCCCCAAGCTTTGGTCGCACAGATCCTACTGGGCGCCCCCCGCGAGCTGCCCCCAGACGTGCCCCCCTAGAGGCGCCCCCCAGACTCGGTAAAAACTTCGTCGTGGTTTACACAAGGACCAGTTGAGCTTAGGATGAAGCAGCTGCTGTTGCTGTCCCCTGCGGAAGCATCTTAGCCACACTTGGCTCGACTGGTCCTCGCGGCAACCCCCAGGAGGTGCCCCTGGAGGTGCGCTCAGAGCAGGGTGCGCATTTTCCTGTATCCCCCGTCCCCCCCCCCCTCCCCCCCTTTTCCCCGTATTCTGCCGCGCCGCTCTCACGGCCCACCAGCGCACCAATGAAAAGCCCCATCCGGAGCAATCATCGGCGGATGAAGCAATCACCCAGCGCGGCTAGCCTGCCCGGTGTCTGGCTGCCGGGACCAGGGGACTGCTGCGGGCTGCGAGGCTGGGACTGGGGGGCGGGCGTGTTGCTGGCAACCCGCGGCCCCGATTTCTTGCTTCGCCTCCATTCGCCCGCCCACCGCTCGCCCACCCCGTGCCGCCCCCCAACTGCAATTTTGTCTGGCACGGTCGTGTTGCACACTGCATGCGGACTACCCTGTTGGTGGTTGTGCCGCAATGATGTGCCAGTCGGCCGGACTCGCCCCTCCTCAGTCGGGGGATCATGTGGCGCCAGCTCGCCCCAGCCTGTTACTGCCCCGGCCTGCCCTGCCTCCTTGTCTTTATTGAAAGGCTCACGTTGGCCGTCCGCGACCTTCGCCTTCGCCCGCTCCCCCCTCCCCTTCGTATATCAAAAACACTTTGGCCGTGGCGTGCCTCTCTCCTTCTCTCTCCTCCCTTCCACGCCCATTCCCCCTCACTTCCGTTCGGGCTTCTCTTTTCTGCGCGTGCCGTGCAGGCCCTGCAGGCCGCGCACCACTTGATCAGCTCGCAGCACCGCCTTTCGTTTGTTGCCCCCCCCCCCCAAGCCCTTATCACACACACTCTCCTCCATCACTCGGCGAGCCACGCAAACGAGGCGGCGCGGCGCGGAATGAAAATGCATTTCAGCACCTCGCTAAACGGTCCAGTCGCTCGCACTTCTTCCCCTTTGTTGTCTCTCTCTAAACGGCCCCGCTCGACTTGGTCCTCCTCCGCTAACTTGCTTTTCTTTCCACTCTGTTCGGCTCCCCATCCCCCCGTCCTTCGAGAGGTGTTCCATCCCGCACCCCCCCGCCGGCGAGTGGTCTGGCCGGTCTGGCACCCCGCCGGCGCGCCCGCAGCCCGACGCCCGGCCCGATGGGATGACTTACAGAGGGCCAGAAGACCGGTGGAGGCGGTCAAAATCCCAGACGCGTTTTGAGTTCCAGAGTCACTAAATGGGACTCGAACCGAACGTGCGTGACCACACCAATGGATTGCTCTCCGAACCAGGAATCCATCGGTGGGGTCACACGTTCGGTTCGAGTCCCATTTAGCGGTTCTGGGGCTCAAAACGCGTCTAGAGTTTTGGCCGCCTCCTCCGGTCTTCTGACCCACTGTGCGCCCGGCCGGACCGGAACGCCGTTGAAAGCGCAGAGCGCGGAGCGCAGGGGAGTGGGGAGCGCCGAAGCGCCTGGAGCGCGTCGGATGCCGTCCCGCAACACAGGCGTGTCTCGCTGCTCCGCTGCGGCCTAGCTGCACGGCGCTCCCGGCGCTTCGCCGCTTCGGTGCTTCGGCGCGCTTTCGGGCATTGTCTGTTGTCTGCCGTCTGGCCGTCTGCGCCCGCAGACTCATTCCAATTGTAGTTCTCGACGCTCCTTCCCTGTCGCGCTCTTTCCGTGCTGGTGTGAGTTGAGGCAGGCTGGCGAAAACGGCTCTCGGAGTCAGTCAGGTGTTGGGTGAGCAGCGGGGAGGCGGCGCTCGGCGGCACGCACCTGCAGGATGATTCCGAGTGGGAGATCTCCCTCTCTCGCGCACTTATGAGGGGTCCCGTTTTTGTGCGAGAGGTACAGATCGATGGGACATCCCCCGAGGAATGAGGCTGCTCCGGTTTACTGGGGGCGGCAGCTTGTCATCGGGCCTGTGCGCGATGCTCACCACTCGTCCGCTGGCGGTCCCTACAGGCGGTCCCGAGGGTGAGAGAGAAAGAGAGAGAGAGAGAGAGAGAGAGAGAGAGAGAGAGAGAGAGAGAGAGAGAGAGAGAGAGAGAGAGAGAGAGAGAGAGAGAGAGCGCTTGTCTTCCGGGCCCTCTGGGGCTCTTCGCTGGCACGCGGGCTGCTGCACGCATGTTGCGAGGCGGGTGTGGCCCTCTGTGGCGGCGTGGCCATGGCGTGGCCGTTGACCCGGCGCGTCGGGCCAAGTTGCCATACAGTGCTGGCCGTGCTGGCTGCGGGCGGCAAACCTTAGCGGGAGCCATGCCGGCCCCCAGGCCCAGTAGGCCCTACAGGGCCAGAGGGCTGTCCGCGGGCCGCGGCGTACGGTCCGTCGCTTGGCGCCGTGGCCGAAGGTTGGCGGTGATGGCGCAACCGCTTCTCTTTGTGATTGGCCGGATTGGCTCGAGAGAGGCACGCTGGTTGGCCGAAGCCCTGCAACCCCTAGGGGTCCGATTTTTTAAACGTGGCCTTGAGCTAGACATTCGATTTGAGGGCCTTGGCCGAATACTGAATCACGGTCACCTCTAGCATTGCTTGTTGGTCTGTGGTGAGGACAGCAGCCACAAAGCCGAACGGGCGGAACCGCGCCCAACAACAATTTGGAACGAAATGATGTGGTTTCCCCGTTTTTGTGGAAGCGTGGCATAGGGGTGGGCGGCGGGCACAGGGGTGGGCCTACGGGCGGGCTCAGGGATGGGGCACAGGGATGGGGCTGCTTGCTCGTTGGGGTAGGAAGGGCTCGGGCCACCCCCCGCCCCTACCTTCCCCAACGCGAGCGCGCCCGAAGCGACCTCGGGCGCCTTCGTGCGCCTTCGGCGGCCCGCGCCGAGTGGGGCGGTGTGGTTGGTGGTTGTACAGAAGGCGTGCTGGCGGTGCTGGCGGTAGTAGACGGTTGTCGCTGGCGCCGAGTGGACCCTTCGCTGCTTCTCTGACGGACGGTGCGTGGACTAGCGTAGCGTGCCCTGGCCGCCCTGACGGTGGGGCGGGGAGGGGCCCGCGGGGCGTGGGCCCCTAGCGTGGGACTTGGCGTGCAGACCCCTACGGGGGCCTCCCTGCGTGGGCCTCTGGCGTGGCGGCTTTAAATGTTGAGACGGATTGTGGAGATCGCTGCCGCGGTGTCGCGGTGCCGCGGTGCCCTGATCGATCGTGTCCAGGGCTGTGCGCTGTGCGCCACGCCCGCCGAAGCGCGCCAGCACCGCGATGACCATAGCTGGCTTGTTACAGGGGGAAAGCGCAGTGCGCGATCACGAGGGAGTGTGTGTGTGTGCATGTGTTCTAGGTGTGGATCGTTTTGTAGCCAAAGTGAGTGTGTGGCGGCCGGCGGGTGGGACTCTTTCGCCAGGCATTGTCTGATCCGCCACCCCTCCGGCACGCGGTGCTGCGGTCGGCGTGTCATGTCGGCCGTGCGCCCCACGCCGCGACGGCGGCCAGCCTGTGGTCGGCGTGTTCGGCGCTGCGCTCTGAATGCAGCCGCCACTCAGACAATGCACCGCATGCGCCGCGCCGCGTCGATGAATCGGAGCCTCAGTGCCGGAACAATGGGACGCAGCCCGCGGCGCTGCTCTGCGCCACGCGGCCGCGCCGCCATCCGGTCCTGTCCGACCGGCAGCCCTCGCTCTGTTTCGGATTCGCTCCAGGCTCGCCATTATGTTCGTGTTGTCCCCACGAGGAAATGAATCGCAACAATCGCGCTGAAAACAGAGGTTCCACACACCAAGCGCGGGGAGCTTCAAAAGCAGCTCGACGTCACTGCCACCTTAATTGATCCGGGTGTTCGACGCTTGGTTCGTTCGGTCTTAAAAGAAAGTTCGCAAGTTGGAAGGCATTGGCGCCAACCGGGTGCATCCGGCAGGCTGGCAGGCCACCTGTTCGTGCGTGCCGCGGCGTGCCGCGGTGCCCGACGTGCCGTGCCGGCGCCTCGTGTTGCACAGGGAGGGCCTGTGCCCCGCCATCGTTCTGTCTCTCTCGCACTCGTAAGGACTTCCTTTCGGGGCGCGCGCGCGCGAGTGAGAGAGTGCGAGGGAGCACTGCTGCATTGCCGGCCATTTGGTGACGACCCACACGGGGTGGGTCGAGACCGGGTCGGCGGGACCTGGGTTCGGACCGCACACAGTGGAGGCGAGGCTGACGCGCTGAGGACGGTCTCGTGCAAATTTGCCACCCCTTGCGTGTACTGTGGCTGTACTGTTTTACTGGTGAGCAAGTCAACACGCAACCTCTGGCCGCAGGAATATTGGAGCGAGCGCCGAGTAGCGCGGCATAGCGCGGCATAGCGGGAGGCGGTGCCACCCTCGAGATTCCATTCTTGCCGGTCCGGCGGAGGGAAAAGGGGAGAGGGGGGGGCTCTGATTGGTTGCGTGCCTTCCGGATCCTCGCGGATTCTCGCAGTGACGGTGTCTCGGCGAACGCTGTGGTGTGTATGCAGTTGAACCATTTGGACACAGCTGGCGTTCGCCGCTTGGCTGCACTGTTCCCGTCTGGCGGTGCAGCGTGGCTTGACGCCCGAGGACTCCAGCGGTGGACAGGCTCGGACTGGCCCCCAAAAGGCCCCAGCGGATAAGACCGCAAAAGGCCCCCGATCATCATTATGTTTTTACCCTTCATGACCAACTTTGTGAGGCTACCGCTCCCAAACTATTTGCGGTCAATAGCCTTCCCGATACAGGGCATGAAAGAGCAGGGGCTTAAGAATACTAGGGCGTCGAGGGAACCCTTTTACGGCAACTAGATTGGACACAATGGCCGCCCAAAGTCAGCAAAATCAGCAAATTTCCGAGATTCGACCACTTTTTGACCAACTTGGTCGGAGAATCGTTGCGGTCAAAGCCAAAATCGTTGTGGTCAACGTCTTCCCGATACAGGGCATGAAAGAGTAGGGTCTTAAGAATACTAGGACGTCGAGGGAGGCCTTTTACGGCGACTAGATTGGACACAGTGGCCACCCAAAATCAGCAAATTTCCGAGATTCGACCACTTTTTGACCGACTTTGGTCCCAAAATCGTTGTGGTCAACGTCTTCCCGAAACAGGGCAGGTAAGAGTAGGGTCTTAAGAATACTATGGCGTCGAGGGACGCCGTTGGCCGCAACTAGATCGGACGCAGTGGCTGCCCAAATTCAGTGAAAACGGCTACTTTCGGAGATTCAATCTCTTTTTGACCAACTTTGTGGCGTTACTGGGCCTAAACCCCAAGGCCCCGGCAGATTTTTCTGCCTGCCCGTCTGCCCTGGCCAGTCCGAGCCTGGCGGTGGATGCTGAGGTCGTGGCTCCCGAGCAACGAAAGCTTGGCTTCGTTCCGCGTGGGCTGCGCGCTGCGCGGCCGCGGTCGGGTCGAGCGCGGTCAGCCAGTCGCGGCCCTTCCCGCTCGCTTTGCTGTCGTCTCCAGATCGATGGACTCGCATGACAGTGAGTCGCCGCCTCGCCCTGTGCGCCCTGTGCACCCTGTGTGCCGTGCGGGCCGTGCGGGCCGGCCCCGCCGAGGGGGCAGTAACCACCCGGAAGGTGTACGAGACTCGCCAAGTGTAGGGAACGGTCGAAGTGGCGTCTCACGTGACCGGACCTCCGGCGAAGTACAATTTTTGGGAGTGGTGGCTCCACAAAGCGCGGCCTGTTTGAAAATTGTGCTGGTCAGACTTTGGGCGGGCAGCGTCTCGGCTCGCCTTGGTGGTCGAGTCGTGTTTGCGGCGCTACAGTGTACCGGCTGGGGCGCCTCCCTGCCGTGCCGGGCCGGCCTGGCTGACCCGGCTTTCCAACAAGGGGTGGTAGTGCAGCCCCCCGCCAAATGCGATTGCCGCGCCCAGAGTGGATCGCATCTCGAGGTTTTCCATCGAGGCTGCTGTCTCGCCGCCCCGCACTGCCCGGCGGCCCGCGCACATGTCTTGTCCCCTGTGCCCGCGCAGATTAACTTATTCACGGGCTTAAAGGTTAAAATTTGTTAGTTGGTTTCTACTCCAATAATGAACCTTTTTTTCAGTACTGACGTCGTTATTGATCTTTTTATCGTATTTTCTCCGTTCGGCTTCGCCAAGGGCTTCGCGCGATGGCGCGACTGACCGCTCCGAAACCGCGGCCCACCCCGCATGCTGCAATATGGGTCCCGAATAAAAATGTTATTGGTTTATCCTATTTTTATTTGACTGGTTTGGAATCGCGTCGTGAGGGCAACTATGGTTAGGCAAGTATAGTGAAGGGGAGAATCACTGTCTAGATACCCCCCCTCCTCCCTCCCTCCCTCCCTCCCTTTCCTCCCCACCACTGCCAACGAAGGCGATGGCGAAACCCGACCGCAGGAACTTGTTAATTGATGCTCGGACGCTCTAAATACTTTGGTCGCACGCTGCGGGCGGGACGGTGGGGCCGCGCGAGCCTCACACACGGGGGGTGTCGCGGTGTTCCAGGCAGACAAGCGCGGAGTTCAAAGGAATCTTGGTGGAGGGGGCGGTGGAGGGGGTCCGGGCTGTGGCGGTAGTGGTATTGATCGACCCCCACCACCCTCTCCCCCTCGTCTGCATCCTGCGCTGCCCTGCGCTGCCCTCTCCCTTTCACACGCAGTCCTCCACCCCTTGCTGCCCTTCCTCTACACGCCCCCTCGCCCCCCTGGCCCCCCTGGCCCGCGCGCTCCCTAGGGACGGCCCTACGGCCCTACGGCTTTACGGCCCTCCGTCGTGGCGCGCGGCCTCGGCAATGCCTGATTGTGTTGGCTTGGCCCGGCTCGGCCGGTCGGGCCTAGGCGGCCTCACTCGCAGAAGGAAACAGAATGGACGGAGAGGGGTGCAAAAAGTGTAGTTGTTTTCGGCTGCCCCCGCTCACTCTCACTAGATCTCGATGCACGGACGTTTTGAATGTTTCTTTTCTTTTTGCCCGTGCGTAAGCGTTTGCAAATGGAGCACTAGGCCACTCAAAATTCTGAGCAATTTTCGTCGCAGAGAGAGACACCATATTCAAAATGTCGCTCCAGAGGGATTTAGTGTGGGCGCCTCAGCGAGCGTGTGCATTCGTAATGATAGGGCAGGCCTGTCCGGAACTGCCGGTGCTTCCGGTGCTTCCGCCACTTCCGTTGGCGCTCTTCCGCTCAAGGGGTCGGGGTGTTGAGAGCTCCGCCAGCTCTGCACAGTAGCCAGAAGACCGCTGGAGGCGGTTAAAATTCTAGTCGCGTTTTGAGCTTCAGAGTCGCTTAATGGGGCTCGAATCGAACGTGTGACCCCACCAGTGGATTGCCCTTCGAACGAGGAATCGATTGGTGGGGTCACACGCTCGATTCGAGTCCTGCGCGTAAAACGCGTATAGAAATTTTGGCCGCCGCCAGCGGTCTTTGGCCCATTGTCAGCCATCGTGCTCCGTGGGTGCGGTGACGCCACGGTGACGCCACGGTGACGCCGCGGCGTGGTCGTCCCGGCACGTCACTGTTTACGAAAATCTATTGGTGACATCATCACGCTGTCTGTCTGCGCGCCCACGCAGCCCACGCACCCCACGCGCCGCCCCCGCCGTCTCCACGCTGGTCCGGGGCGGATGGGGGCGGCGCCGTCGGCTGTTCTCGTTCGCGGCTGCTACTCGCGGCCTTCGGCCTTCGCCGCTTCGCGTCTGCCCGGAGGTTTGCCGGCTCGCTTTGCCGGTTCGTTTCGCCCTGCCGCGCTGCGGGCAGGGCGGGCCAGCCAAGCCTTGTTTCGCTTCGCCCCGCGACTGAGATTGACTCCGCCTTGTTCTTCTGTTTGCAGAGCCAGCGCCATGCCCGCCCCAGCCCCCGCCCCCGCCGCCGCCCCCGAGGGGCCGCCCCGCACCGAGCTGCAGGAGCTGCAGCTCAAGGCGGGGCAGGTCACGGATGAGGTAAGTGCAACAAACTCGCAAATGCAGTAGAGAGGCGCCCCCTCCCCATTTTCCCCGGGCGACCTTGCCTCGGCCGTTTGACTGCCTAGACGGCGCCAGGCGAGGCGCCAGGCCTCCGTCTCCGTTTTGAAAGTCCTAGCGTGCTCTGCCGCTCTGCCCTCAGCACTGAAGACCGATTCCGAGCGGGAGGTCTCGCTCGCACCCAGAGCGCTTCCCTTATTCGTTCGAGAGAGACCGACAGGCAGGCCCGCTTCGTACTTCGTCCGGCCGGGCTGTCCGCTCCGTACTTCGTCCGGGCGGGCTGTCCGCTCCGCTGTCCCGCCCTATCTCGCCAATCGATGCGCTGACGTAGCAAAACCCCCCTTTCGTATTTGCGAGGCCCTTTTTGTGTACTCTTATTCAGAAATAGCCATCAAACAGACCAAATTTTGCACGGAAAGGCTTTGGTCGTGATGCCGCCTGGTAATGCAGCCCGGCCGGTAGGCAGCCCGGCCGCGGCTCTGTCGGCGGGACTGCATGGCGGCAGTTGCTACGCGATGCGTGCGTTTTGAATGTGCTGGGGACGCGCGGTGACGGGGAATGTTGGAGAAGCTAACCGTTTTGTTTTCTGTTCTGTTACAGTCGTTGGAGAGTACGCGTCGTATGTTGATGCTCTGCGAGGAGGTAAGTTTCGATGATCGTGATAGTAATAGGTTTTCTCTGTTTTTTCGGTGTGTTTTCTTCGTGTCCTCCCCTTGGGAGTTCTGCTTTTTCTAGTTGGTACCGTTTTGGTTCTACAGGCAGAAAGATGCAATCTGGCTGCTGAATGTCGACCTTGAATTTTATTCGTCTGTCGACTTGCAACATGAATTTCAGCCGAGATCACGAGCGATTTTGTATTGTCTACTTTCGTACGATTTCGCACAATTTCAGGACCGTGGAGCGGGAACTTGATTTTTGCTGTCATATACCTGTCGAACGGACTCTGTCCCTTCTACTAGGACAGCGCTCAGCGTGTTTGCCTTCTTTCGCTAGACGACACCCATCCTGGCGTTCTCCCATTCGTAGCGCGTAGCGCCCTATGGGCCCAGCCTGCCCAGCCAACTCAGCCAGCCCCAGCTAGAGCAGCAGCAGCGTCTCTACGTCGAGACACCTCGTCGTTTGCAGTCGTTTGAAGGATGAATGCGATAGTCAAACTAACTCGGTGTGACGGTCGCTACTGTGAATGTTCCAAAGCCAACGGAAAGATGGTGCCCTTGAGACAACTGAATCATAAATGTGCAATTTCTTAACAGGAATTTTTGAGGTGCTGTTACTGCGTCCGTGCGAGCCATTTCTTTTTCTGTTTTGTTTCCTTGTTTTTTTTTTTTGTTTTTTTTGTTAATTTTAAAATCATTTCTGAGTTTGTGTATATCTTAATAATTTTGATGCATCTTGCCCATGTTTTTGTATTAAACATGCACTCATTGTAAAGGTAAGATTCACTATTTTAACTTTGTATCAGTGAACCAATACTCCTCTGAGCTTTACTGATCATGACATTGAATGATCATTAAAATAAAGCTCAGACATAGAAATTTACCATGTAGAGAAAATGGAATAGTGTGTACACCCTATAACCACGGCCAATGCTTTCAAATGCTGTCTCATCACGCTTTGTACCTATCAGTAAATTTTACAAGCAAATTTTGCCTTTTTTTTTTCTAATTTTAGAATAATGATTGCTGTTGTTCCTTAAGTTTTCAAAGACAAAAGTTAACAACATTCACAAGTCATTTGCCATGGTTATCTTTCTCTCACCCTGCATATTCTGGCTTCTGATTACTACTTTGCTTGTCCCTTGACTGCTGGGCAAAGTCCTCTCTCCATAGAGCATTACATTTTCTTTATTTACATCTTGAAGCTCTCTTATGTTCAGTTTGAGATGTTTCTCACCACTAGTGCCATTCAATTTTTGCTTTTATTTTTGTTTTCACTTACTCTTTCTTGTTGTTTGCATTGGTGTAAATCAAGTCAATAAACCAAATAATAATTGGTTGCCTTCTTGAAACGTACGTGTCTTTTGGCTTTAATGTGCTGCTAAGTGCCTTCTGTGTGTCAATGTTTTTCTTGGCTTCAGTTCCCAGACAACTACTAAAACCTGACTAGATTGGTAGTTGTTTGGCACTAAATGTCTACACTCGATGATTACACTTTTCTTTCTTTTTCTTTATAAATTAGAGCAATTTTGGCACACTATAGACAACATGATGATTTTTATATATATACATTTATGTTTTTTTACTTCACTTCTTTGTCTATTTTTTTTTTTTTAATTTGCAAAAGCCTTTGCTGGGTGTTTTACTTGTCTACTTTTGTTTCTTTCAAAAAATATTTCTAAGTGTGTCGATAGTAGACAAGGCCTGCATGTACTGAGTGCTCATCACCTCAACCCAGAACTCGCGCAAATTGCCTTTCATATCAACAATGACATCAAAGTTATGCGTCATAAGCCCAATCTCCACCAGAAAATTTCTGTATTTCATTGTGATACAACAGTTTACTATCATACATTTTCACTGATTATCATTGTGATTTTCTATCTTTTATTATATTTGCATTTCCCCCTCCCCCCCTATGAATGGTGATCAGTACTCTGCTCACTCAGACATCTCACGTAACATTTTCACCATCCAGGTCACCCATCACTAATGCATTACTAACTCATCATAAAATTCTACTAATATTACTTGTTCATCTTCTATCACCAGAACTACTGCCAACATCACTACATCTATAAACATGCTATGGATCTGCAGAACTTCCACTCTATCTTCTTTCAGTCATGTGTTTCAATTCTGGCTTCTAACATGTATGTGTGTCTTTTGGTGCTGCCCAGAGCAAGGAAGCAGGCATCCGCACATTGGTTGCTCTGGATGATCAGGGAGGTGAGTGCTCTACCTCCCATATGCTCCCAGCTACCAGAGACCCCTTTCTTTTCTGAAACCACCAATCGTTTGTAAATGTTTCAAATTACAACCATCCCTAGATTATTTTTCTTATCCAATGTTCAAAGCGGCCTGTACTGTATGAAAAAGTACAACTCCCTCTCTTTTTTTAAGAAACAAGGTGGTTTCAGGGTATAATCTCAATGCCTTGTGGGCTGCTTGGGCTGGGGCCTTTGTATGCAGAAATCAAAGCAAAGCGCACCTTCAACCTGCACTGAAAAGCTTGTCGAAAGTGTTTCACATTCCTTTGCACTTCCTCTTACTGAACATAAAATAGCACATTTGCAATATACTTGGAACATCAAATCTAGTAAAAACACCAACAGTGTGCTACATTCTGAGCTATAAAGGAGATGAACGCCTCCAAAACACATGTTGTGTACCGTTTACCTCAATTCACCAGCATGCCACCACAGTCCATTGCTCCTATTTTATTGAACCGTGAATAAAGACTAAATATCTTATGTATGTATTACTTTGATTATAAGTCATGTGCCAAATATAATTGATAAGCATCTAGATGATTTGTGAAAGGGTAAAGAATGCAAATACTTCTTTATCTTTCAATCTCATGGTTGTGTCAATTGCATCAATTTGTGTTATTTTTTATTTTTGTTTTTAAAGAAAAAAAAAGTGTATGAAACAGATATTTTTTTATGAAGTTTTTTCTTTTTGTGTCTGGATTTGTTTAATTATGTAAAGTCATTTAGTATCACAAGAGGTACTTTTTTGATTTTCGACGTATTTGACAAGTGCAATTGTCTCTAAAACATGAAGCAGTGCAACCTCTTTAACTCGAGGCAACTAACACATGTGCTGATGCATACAAGACACGCTCAAGGATTAAGTATATCAGCAACACCTCTCTAACCCTCCTGTCAACACTTTGACAGTCGTTTCTTCTTTAACTGTCAATTGCTTCCATGAAATCTTTAGTTTCCCTCCTTTCTCCAGTTGCATTATGTTCATAAAATAATATGAGACTTTTATTTACAAAGAAAATATTGTGAACTATGTTTTTGTTTGTTTGTTTGTTTTAATTTTAACAACACAAATTTTGTAAGGATTGAGCGAGTATATCCATGCCACTGCTTGATTTATATATCATTCAAAGGAGAAAAATAACACATTGTGGCCACTCACATTGTAACTGGCAGTTATGAACAGTCAACACAAAAGTCATGCTTTTGTATACCTTCAAATGAAACAAAGCAGGTTATCTTTTTCTTTCTCATATATACTGGTCTTGATTTCTGACATAATGAATTTCCAAAACGGAAACTGAACAGTTACATCCGCTCACTATGTGATCAGTTCATTCATGCCTTCAATGTGTTTGCAAACTGGGCCAATGCATGCCAGCCCTAGCTGTAAATATGTGTGTTTTTGTGTTTGCCAATCTACTGCCAAGGGAATGGAGAGTGTCCAGGGGCCCATCTAGCTTTGCCAATTACAACAGTGGCATGGACCAATATTTCAATCGTCAATCCAATCTATTGTTATCATGCTTTATTGTACACAGATCAGAGTTTTTTCAATGGTTTTTGTTGTTAAGACAGTTTGATTGGCTTGTTCTTAAACTGTTTTTAGAGTTTTTGTTAATGATGTCGATTCTGTTGTTGTCTTCAACCATGTTATTATTACGATTGCAGACCTTTTGGGCTCTTTCCCTTCCCTTGTTCTAGTTCAGTTTTGATTTTTAGAAATCCGCTTGTTTGTTGGTTTTCTCATATCCAAAATAAATTTTCCTTTTCCCCCCTTTTTTTCTTTATTTGAGGATTTATTTAGTAGTGAACTTAAGACTCAATCTGTAGATGTATGCTCAGAAAGTCTCAGACTGCCTTTTATAAATATCATTTCCTTCTTTATTTCTTTGCTCCTTTTTTATTTTTGTTGTGCTATCTTTTACGTTTTAGAGTGAAGAAGCCGGAACAGGAACCTTGCAGATGTTGAGTCGTCAAGGCGGTAAGAAACTTCCTGGGTGGTTGTCATGTTAAGCAGCTTTATGTGTTGCATGCTGTAATTCTTGATCCTCTAAGCTACTAACAATTCCGACTTTCCATTTAATTTCTAAAATAATGAGAATCAAGAATTACTGCATTTGCATTTATGAAACTGCTCTATTAATGAAACATGAAGAAATGGTCGCCTATCAGAAGCACTGTGCTTCTTCATATGCATTGCTTCTTTCTGAATTTTTCAGTTCCTGTTTTCATTATTTGAGCAGTTTGTCCTCTCTAGCTTAAGCATATCCTCTAATATCTTATTCTTGGATCTATAAGATCTTGTGAACTTCTGGGTGCAGGAAGAAAGCTTTTTTTAACATATTTGCATTGTGGTCTTGGGTTAATTGGTATTTCATTTCTTGTGTTGAGATGTTGGATCTTCTTGTCTTTTATTTGCATGAATCAACTCCCTTATCAACCTTCAGTGTGATTCTATTTTCAGTGTCTCTTTTATAGTCCTCTCTTTATAGTAAAATATTCTTCTGTAGAAATGTAAGTGGGAATCATGTGTTGCAGAACTTAAAATTTTCTACTTCATGGTTGGCAATTAAATATGAATCACAATGGGAGGCTATATATTCTAGAGAAATGGCGTGTGCCTTCTAGTGCGTCAGTTGCTCACCTGATTCTCAGTTGTACAATGTGTGAATCGTCTACAGAAATCTAGATAATAACATGAATGTGTGTTTTTATATACTGATGGAATTTTTAAGGTTTCAAAAAGTCGTTTTTATCTGTGTGTAATAACATTTTGCGGCTGAAGTGAAAAGCTAATTGACAGTGCCACTCTGAGGTCATTAAACCCTTTTAACACGTGTGTTACTGTTTTGTAGAGCCATGAAGTGGGAATGAGGTCCCTAGTGATGTTGGATGAGCAAGGGGGTAAGACATGTTAGCTTGTATTCTACCCCATCTGCTGTCTCTTTTTCTGCCTGTCTCGTCTTTTCACCTTTGCCGTCCCTCCCTCCCTGCTCTCTCTATCTCTCTCTGTCATATTCTCCCCCTCTCTCTTAAATGTCTGTCCATTTATATTCTTTTTGCAATACTTTTCCCTTGCTCTTCCTTTATAAATATCAAGTAGATTGGCTTCCATCTATCTTTTCTCTTTTGCACTGCTTTTTTATTTAAAATTGTATCTGAACATTGATGTGAAGTTTGTCATAGTTTGTTCAGTTTTCCCAATGGCTTTACCATACTCCTAACATACATCTCATCATTGGTTCCCACATTTCTCAACATTCTATGTATGACCACATTTTCAAACCTGTATTTATGGCCCATTTCATTTACTCTAACTTATATTTCTCTCCTAATGTATAGCTATCAAAACAGTACAGGTTTAGTGGGATGAAGTAAATCTAGTAAAAACATAAAGTTTTATTTGCCTAAAGCTTCACATCACCTAAGCTCATAAAAACTCTTACTTAATTTGTTCGTTTTGTCAATTATTATTAATTTAACGTTGCATCAAATTTGTATGAGTATGAGAACAGTTGGGCCTTTTCCCGGCAAATGCTGACTATTTATACAAGTCCTATCCTTTTTTTTCCTCTCCACAGCTGTTATTGTCTTGCTTTAGACTAAGTGTTAGGTGACTTTCTACATTGCTGCAGGAACAACAGTAACTTTTTAAACAAAATGCCTAAGAAGAACTGAGCTCTCAAACCACACTACTTTCGTCTTAACCGGGGGAAGGCTGCCTGATTCTGAAACTCTTGGTTTTCTATGCACAGCTTCATAAACCACGAGAACATGTTAAATGTCAAAGATGGAGAGACCAAACACAGCACAGATTTAGGATCAAGTAATAATGAAGATAATCACCAACAAAGGCAAGCAGAAGATTACTGAAAGAAGATGTATGTGATGTACACTTATGAAGAATAAAGGATTACACTGAAGACAAGTCATATCACACTACAGCTGTTGCATGCTTCTTGTCAGTGTGTAAATTTGTGTCTTGAGATGTCTGTTGCCAAATGGGCTGCATTTTTGAGTTCAGGCATCATCAAACCAATGTGAAAATTAATTTGGTTCCTTGTTGCTTTTAAATGAGTGTTCTAGATTAATTCTCCAGACTAACCAATAAAAGTAAGGCAATTGAGCTTTCATTGGACTTAACTGTGGTGGGATGCTTTGTAACAGCTTATTCCATTGGTTTCTCTCATACAGTTGAGGGAAATAATTGAAAAATAATAAGATGGATCTTTTCATTATCATCTCCTTGAATCATTTAAATAGTTTGGCCTCTTGAAGGCCTCTTCTTAACTCTCTGCTTGCTCCCCCTTGTAACTAACTATTCCAGACACTTTGAGAATTGGTTGATAATTTCACTGTAATTTGTTGCTTTAGTAATTGCATGATTATATCCATCTTATTATAATACAAAACATATGCATGTGAAAATTTAAGGGAAAAAAATGAAGCAAATGGAAAGAGAAGCAAAGGAAACTGCACAGTACCTTAATTGCATGAGGTTTTTGAACAAGCATGTTTATTTTAATAAATGCTTATAAATGTGTAGTGAACTCCTTCACAATTAAGTAACCTTTTCAAAGAGCTCCAAAAAGAAATGATCGATTTGAGCTCTTTTCAAATTTGTAGCATTTGTAAACATAATGCTGACCTGTGTTCGTGTTCAACAGAGCAACTGGATCGTATTGAGGAGGGTATGGACCAGATCAATGCTGACATGAAGGAGGCGGAAAAGAACTTGACAGGCATGGAGAAATGCTGTGGTATTTGTGTTCTCCCTTGTAATAAGTGAGTGTGAATGTTAATGCTAGAGTCAAACAATTTACTACAGTGTGATACATTTTCTCATTTCTCTACAATATATTTTTTCAGGTCAGCCTCATTCAAGGAGGACGAAGGAACTTGGAAAGGAAACGATGATGGCAAAGTTGTCAACAACCAGCCTCAGCGTGTCATGGATGACCGCAATGGTCTTGGCCCACAAGCAGGCTACATTGGAAAGTAAGATCAGTACAATGCCATATGATTTATTTCAGTATCTATTTTAGTGTGTTGTTGTTCACAAAGGTTTTTCATGTTTTTATCATTTTTTTTGTTCAGAATCACAAATGATGCTAGGGAAGATGAGATGGAAGAGAATATGGGTCAAGTCAACACAATGATTGGTAACCTCCGCAACATGGCTCTTGACATGGGATCTGAGCTGCAGAACCAGAACTCTCAAATCGATCGTATCAACCGCAAGGTGAGTAGCACATGAGAGTAATTATTGAACTGGGTTTCGTTAAGTGTAAAGAATACACTTATTCTGAACTTCATTTTATAAAACATTCCTTCTTAAATTTTCAGGGAGAGTCCAATGAGTCGAGGATAGCAGTTGCCAATCAACGAGCTCATGATTTACTGAAGTAAACGTGCTACACGAAACAAACACAGACAGCAAATCATCTGATCATTTCATAGAATTTTCCAAATTTGATTAGCTTAAACCAACTAGCATATTGTATTCTATTAGTCTCTGAAGAACAACACATTGCAAGGAAATTAAAACTTGGGAAAGCTGTACTAATCAAGATGAAAACATCTGCTGTAGATTTTATTTCTAATTTTGTCTAAGTTTTCAGAGCTGTTGTATTTACAGTACAGGCAGGATATATCCCTACTTGTGAATACCAGTAATATAAAACTAATATGGTTTTACTTATAATCCTGGTGCTTATGCATATTTAAAAAAAATTACTCCAATTACCCTGTCAATCAATTTTGCTGCATGCCATCTTTTGACTGTGAGTCTTTGATAAGGGATTGTGATTTTCACCTCAAATGGGAGTGATAGACAAAAATTAAATTTTTGCAACAACTGCATATTTTGAATGTTTTTGTTACCCACTGGTGGATTGTTATTGTTACCCCAAAGCCATTGCAAGTTTGTGATTTGTCTTTCAATCAGTCCATCAGTAGGTCATTCACTCCTAGTGAATTTTGGTACTGATATTAAAGCAATATAAATTTTGTATGAGTACAAATTTTATCCAAGCACCACAACAACCTTTGGCTCTTAGGGCCACCATTTTGCTGGATTTAGAAGTGAGGCATGGTATCATCTTCCTTAGTTTTTGTACAATTGAAAGTTTTATTTCCCCATCCCTGAGACAGGCACAACTTTGTTGACTGTTTGTGTTGGTTGTTGGTGTTTTTAGAGCTTTGGTTTCTTTTTCTTTTTCAAGAGCTGCTTATATTAAGTCTACCTAATCATTAAGGTGATATCTTGTAGTTTTCAATTTCTTTTGCTGGAGAGTATTTGTGTGGTTAATTTTTTTGGACATTAGGTAAAGAACTCAAGAAGGAGAGATGAAATGGGACATGGCTTTGAATGAAAAGGCTTGTCAAGATCAAAGATGGGTGTTATCAGAAAAGTGATGACCAGTGAATGGAAAGTGTTCTCTTCCATCTCTTCTTCTGGAATTTAATACCTTATGCTACCTATTGTGGCAGTTGCTTGTGGCTGTCCATAGTGTAGCTGACAAAATTGACCAAAGCAAAGTGCCTTCAGAGGAGCTGATTTTCAGCATCAGAATACATTTTAAGTTAAGAACTGCTGTTATGGCCCTGCAAAACAAAAGTAATAATTTTGCCTGTCAAGTAAGCTCTTTATACAATGTTATATAGTTGGTCGATGGTCACAAAATAGTAACTACTTTGAAAGTAATTCACAATGTTCCTTTACCGCCTCTCCCTTCTCATGAAATGTATTCTGATAATTTGAATTTTCTTCTCATTACAAAATTTGCAATATGTAAATGCGTATGAAGTCAATTCAAATATGACTTTAGTGTTCAAAACTGAGAAAGAATTTGCGACCCTTTGTACCTTTAAACTTGTTTCTCAACATTTTTCACCTATTAAGCGGGGAATTTTGTGTGGAGTTAGTACTTACTAAGTTATTTTCAGATGTAATTAACACTAGCAGCCTCAATGTCCTTCCAATGTCTACAGGTGGCTGCTGTGTTACTTTGTTGGCCTTTATTATTTGTGATTTCATCTTTATTCAACACAGGAATTTAGTTCCGAAGCCTGGTATTGTGGTAACTTATTGACATTTTCAACATATTTTATTATTATAATGTAATACTTTAATCTGTTATTGTCTATTCTAACATGTAGGTGGATGGGAGGAGCTATTATAAATATATCTACTAAGCGTGTTATTCACCCTCTAGCAAGCTGTGATAGGTTTCAATGTGGATTAAAATTAAAGCATATATCTTAATGGCTGACATTTCATCTTTCCTTTGTTGAGAATTTTCCTTTCCATTTAGTGTTGGACAAAATATTGAAACTCAGCTGCTTCCTGGTTATTTTCTTGTACTACTGCTCTTATCTTGACCATGGGCTCATTAAGTATTAATCTGTTAACAAAACAAATATCATATCTTTGGTTGATCTTAAGGAAAACTGGAAGTGTCTTTTGAACTTAACCTTTATTATAGTTAATGATCTCTTTGCCACAGTCTTGGCTGTTCAAAGATTTATGCCATGCAGTATTTAATTGTGGAATAAGAATCTTGATGGTAGCTTTTGCAGCTTGCAATAAAGGCTACCCTGATTCTTCCTCAAATAATTTGTTCCCTTAGCTGAGCAGGAGTGTTCATAACGTCATGTTCTCTTGAAATTTTGGTTGAAAATCCATGTGTGAAAAAACAGTTGGAAAATGAGAAAAAGAGGGGCTTTGAACTTTTTCCTCCCAATTATAATATTTCCATTTTCCCTTCTTTGAAAAATAGTTTTTAGTCATGAACCATTGAATGCCTGCTGTGATGAATGACCCACTACCTTTCATCCCATTCCAGAAGCTTCCTTCGAAAGTTATGTCAACAATAATATGGAAACTTTTAATCAAAATGTCTGAGTTCTTTTTTTGGTAGGTAGGCTGATCGGTTTGATCTAAGTTTCGGAGAATGTAACAATTGTATATATTGTGGTGTACATAAAACAAAAGTCAGAGGTTAATTTTTCAGTATTTGTGCAATATACACTGGGATTGTTATATGCTTTGTAAATGTATTCTTATGCACATACTTTTGCTGCAATACATTTCATGAATTTTAAATGTAGGAATTCTAAAAATAATTAATACGAGATGCATGGTATGATGTATATGAATGCGTGAATGGTAACAAAGAGTACTTAGATAGTGAATATCATTTCTTGGCTCCAATTTGTCTTTTCATAGTTGCTTGAATATATTCATATACTTATGTCGTCTGTTTGTTGAAAAGCACACCTTGTGCCAAAGGATACCTAGAATTTCTAGGATATCTCTGGTGATTGATTCCGTTCAGTATTGTAACCTCGTGGTTGTGCTTGTTCTGACATTTACTATCAAAGTCAAAAAAGAATAAATCACAGTGCTAGGACAAACATTTTTCTCCTCTAATTATTAAAGTCTTTGCTTGTATATTCTTTTGGCTAATTAGTATTGGCAAGTTTGGTACTTATGTTAATTAATTATAATTTATTTATCTTCAATTAATTAACATCGGTGGCCAAAAGGGAAAGGGAAAATGGAGACTAAACAAATTTTGGTTTTGTGTAGTTGCTTTGATTTTCTTTCATCCATCTGCCCCAAGTTTTCTTTTTGTTTTTGTAAAGTTTGGTGGATAGAACTCTATTAATTTACAAATGAGTTACTTTAATTAAGACAAAGTAAGGAGCTACTCAACCGTGCTTCTGTCCAGGAGAAAGTAGAAATGAAACTATTGTGATGCTAGGGCTGCACATTTTGGCTGATGGCTGTAGATTTTGCCTCAGCAGGTGCAACCATGTTGTTAAGTTTTGTGGCTGTTGAATGTTTGAGAGACTTTTATATTTAAAGTAACTTAGTTTTAGAACATCTTTTTGTTAGGTACAAGTTATGTCCATGCCACTTTTCAGTGGAAAGTTATTGTTAATAACATTGGGCATGTTATATCAACTTTTTTCTCCCTCTCGCAATCCTTTCAGTACTAGTATTTCACTTAACATAATCTTTGAGAGGATTTTAATGCAATATTTCATCTTTCCACCTGTTTCACTTCTTTCTTTGAAACATACTTTTATGTCCCCCTTGTCCCTTTTTCCTTCAACACTCTGTTTCCCTGTAGCCTAAATTTCTATTGATTGACTTTTCTTCAAGACCTACCTTGGAGTGTAGTTAAAGCATTACAGAATCTAGGGACATTTCTTTTACATGCAATTGCTGCAGTGATATTGTGATGTTAGTCATGCAAAACATGGGCTTCCCTTTGAAACTATGTACTTAGAACTAAAATAACTTGCTCATGGATGTTTAAAAAATACAGTGAATGCTTTTGTCTAGTTCAGTGAATTTTTTTGAATTTTTTTTTTTTTGTTGTTTGTCCTTTTGACATCCAGTTTGCCCTGTGGATCCACTTCTTATCAAAAATAATCCTTTTGCCTGTTCATCACAATTTTTTGGTCACTGTTTCCCCATTGAACATTCTTGGCAAAGGTATGAGGCAAACCTTTTGTATATCTATACATCTTGCGTTTTCACTTTCCAGTTTGGTTTCCTGTTGACGTTTTTGTAATTTGCCAATTGTATGTTTCTAATCCCAACCTTTGCATTACTGTACTTCAAAACAGAACTTCTTGTAAGACCGCACACTAAGATAACTAGCCTCAATAATGTATTAAAAAAAGAAAAAAAAATGTTTTGTTAAAACTGAGAAGCAATCTTAAAGATAGTGTACAGTTGCTCACTAACTAGATTCCAGGAAATAAAATTTTTGTGCCCTGGATTACTGAAGAAGTATTTTTGCTCTTTAAACCTTAAATACATGCTAGCTTTTTTTTTCTTTTGTTTATTTTGCGATTTATCTTTTGTCACATAAGTACCATATCAAAATGATGTACTCATTTATTTATAGGTCACATTTCTGTACCTCTTGAGCCTCAATAAACATACAAAAAAAAAAGTTCTCTTGTTTAATTACGGACTCTCTTGAAGAGGGTTGCCTTCATTCAAGTACTCCAAACTACTAAACGAGCCGTGGGGTGTGAGCAGGGGAATCGCAGAATTTGACAAGTGATAGAAGGGGAGGGGCGGGAGGGGGTGCTAGGTTGGTGGTGAATGGGGTTGCTATGATACTTGTTTACATCGTGTAGCGAACGGCGAACATGAGCACAGAAGTTGAAGTGACTGGTTGTTGATGCTGATATTTCCGTGAACATTATCAAAAGAGAGTTTTCTGTGACGATCGCAGAGTTAAGATGGCAGTGAAAGGGAAAGGGAAGAAAAAGGCATCGGGTGCGGGAACAGCGGTGAAAAAGTCAGCCAATGGAGAAAAGAAGACCAATGGCAGCGGAGGGAACGGTGACAAAAAAAAGAAAAAGTCTGGCGGAAAAAGGAAATCTGGAGGTGGCAGTAAGTCCAGATACAACATGGACATCTTTAATCCCATCGCCATGGAAAATGCCTACTACACCTGCCACAACATTCAAGACGTTTTGTACTGCCGTGGCTTTCCGTGGCCTGATGCTCAAAAGAAGAAAAAGAAAGGGAAAAAGTAGATTTGAAGTTTGCTTTTCTTTTGGGAGGCACAGTTGTAATCCAGTTCATTAGTGTCCAATGTTCAGTGGTGTGTGTAAGCTTCGTAATAAATACATTTCTGGAATAAGTTAGTTTGTATTTGAATTCCCTCACTGTTTCCCATAGCCATGTTAGAGTCCTAAAGGCCCCTTGGGGAGAACCGTCAACTTGAAAAGTGTTACGTTTTATTTCTCATATATCCGAAATTTTATGCGCGATTCCTCATATACTGACGATCAAAATGGCGTCGCTTTGCTTTGATGTTGTGTCGTCTGCTCCGGGCCTCGTGAGGTCAACAGACTTGACAGCGCTTGCAATAGGCCTAAAAACTTCCTCACCTCTTTAAATTAGTTCATTGAAGATCCCTTGAATGTCGGAGATAAATAGTGAAGCCATTTTGAGGCTCACTGCTGAATTTTTAAAATCCCCGCCGGAAGCGGAAGCGCTCGGCGGACATTTTGATCGTCAGTATGAGCACCAAATCGGTCAGAAGTCAGTAACGCAGTTGACGGTTCTCCCCAAAGGGCATTAAGGACTCTAAGCCATGTTAAGTGGCCTGGATTATTTCTCATAGCGTCGTTGTTAGTCTCGCTCCGACCTCCGACCCGACTCGCGACCACTCGCGACGCACACACACATGTAAACACGGAACAGCAAGTTGGTTAGCAGAACGAACACAAATAGAACAATGAAAAAATATGTCTCTCATAGACGTTGACGGTGACCCTTGGTAAGTTGTTGAGCCGGAAATTTCAATTAACTTGTCCCTACATCGAGAGCCATGTCATGACATCTCGGCTGACCTAGTGTCTAATGTATTTGGGTTAGGGGAGTGCCTGTTGTCACTGTCACTAGTTCTGTTCTCCAGGCTGAGGGAGCATGAGGCCTGCGAAAAGCTGTTCCGTGAGATAGCAGCGCAGCTTTCGGAAAGGGACAGTGAAATTTCGTCGTCTGCTGCTTATGCTAAGCTATCAGCCTTAGTACGTGTTCGTCTGAGACAGTTCACTGTAGAAGTTAACCAGTTACGAGAGAAACATGCAGTTATTGCCAGAAATGACACAATGTATCCTTGACACGAACCTGTTTGAAGTAAACCCCATTTGCTGTAGTCTCGTATTGTCAGTCCTTGACCATGTTATTCAGAACACCTCATGAGGCAGAGAGAAGAACTCGATTGGTGGAGCGACTAGAGAGTGGTATACGTCATCTTCAGCAGCGCTTTAATGCCAGGTACCCAAATGTCTGGTCCACTATTGTGTTGTTCAGCCAAAAAGTTGAAATTGTTTTAATTTTTTTTTTCTACAGTGCAAGATCTTATGATGATGATGAAAATCGCTCGCAGCTTATGCTGGACAGAGGACGTGATAAGATGTTTGCTGATATGGGAACGACAGGTTGGGGCGATGATGATGGGCATTCCTCTGAAGCTTTTGATGTGGAGAGAGCTCAGAAAATGACACAACAGGTGATAAAAGGTAAGTTTTGCACATGTTTGTTCCTGCTCAGGTAGAAAAACCCCTGAACTGACCTGAAAAGTGTTCTCCTGTCACCCTATTTTCAGAGCAAGATGCTGGTCTGGAAGAACTGGCCAAAATTATTTCTCGACAAAAGAACATAGCCCGAACAATTGGAGATGAAGTAGAGGTCCACAATGGTAAGACATTTTACTCCTACTCTGATTAATGTTTTGGTGCCCCTTTCCCAATGTGTAAATTGTGTTCTTTTCAGAAATACTGGATGATTTGGCTGAAGGTATAGATCGCACCACTGTGGGCTTGATGGATGAAACCCGTCAAGTCCGCACAATATCAAGGAAAGACAGGACGTGTGGTAAGGAAGTCTTCAATACAATGTTGTGAAACACTTGCTAATGTAACAAGTGTGATGAACATTTCTTTTAACTTTTTTCTTTCAGGGTACTGGGTGGTGATAATATTGTTATTTATTGCCATTTTGGTTGTTGCTTTTATATGATTTATGCAGTATGGAGTGACATTTATGACTTCACATGCATGGAGGTCCTTGTGTCATAAATGATATTTTTATACTCAAATTATGCCTTAGTGCCTTTTGTATGGATTGAATAGTGCTTAAAAATATTTTGAAAGATTGATACAAGTAATCCTTCTATACTTTTACCTCACTTTATAAAATACAACATAAAAATTTTTATTTTTGTTAATTCTCAATCGTACTTTGTTCCTCCTGTAATTTCAACAACTCCTTCAAATGTAACACTTTACCTGATTAAGATACAAAGATACTTAATTTTTAGAAAGAGTTACAAAACGTCCCATATGCCCTGGTACACTGAATACATTGAATGGTTTATTGACTGATCTTCAAATCCATCACTTCCTGAGTAACGTGGGACTTGGCCTGCCACTTAACCACGTGGACGCGATACGCGATCTCTGTGAAGGCGCTTCTGCAAATTACTGGTCAAAGTCTTTAAATAATGACCGACAGGGCAAGCAAGGCCGAAAAAGCGGGACGTCGAGAGGGAAGGACAGAAAGCTGCGGAGGCGCGAGTGGAAGCAGGGAAAGAGGGAGAAGCGCGCGCATCCCAGCTTCGGTCGCGTCGCCGGTCCGGGTCCGACCGTCCGACCATCTCACACGCTGGAAAATCAATGCGACCAGTCCCCCTCCACCGCCACGTCCCTTCCCCCACCACGGCCCCGCCCCCCGGCCTTCAAGGCCTTCAACCCACCCCCGCCTGCGGGTAACAGTACCCCAGCCTCTGTGGCGCTGGGCCCCGCCGCTGCATCGTATTATTGTTCGCCACTAGATAGCGCCTGCCTGCACAGGCAGCCCTGGCGGCCACTCTCTCTCCCTCCCTCTCTCTCTCTGTGCCTTTGTGGCTGCCGTGTTTGTCTCGATTCGCCCTCATCCCGAAGGACCTGACAGAGAGGCGCTTACCTCCATTGATCCCTCGCGCTTGGACGGTTTCGCGCCAAACACTGCATTCCTTTGTAGGATTCAGTGCGTAATTTGTCAACTATGGTATCTACGCTTCTTTTGTGCAATGCGTATGAGGAAGCCATCATAAGGTACCCTCGGGAGGAGATTCTAAGGACGAGAGGAAATATCACAGTGTGACTTGGTCATATCTGGGGAGTAAGAGAACAACTTTGTTGATGTCTTCCCGGCGCATCGTGACTTGAGAGCAGGCCGCCAGTTTGGAAGCACCCCCTCTGGAGGCCCAAACGGACTTAAAATACAAAATACAGCGGTGGCGTGGAGGACGCCGTCAAGCAAGCCGCGCGGCGTGGCGCCGGGAAGCGACCGAAAGGGGCGCGGAGTGGGAAGAAGGCGAGGGAAGAAGGATTGTTTTGATGCTCCCGCGATTCATGTTTACGAGGACCGGGATGAATGATGGTGGCCAGAGAGGGGGAAGTGGCGAAATGAGGAGCGGCTTTCTCCTTCTCGGCGAGGCACGGCACGACGGCGACACTCCACGCCGAACCGCCTAGGCTCGCCTGCCGCTCCGCAGTGCCGTGCCGCCGTGCCATTCTCCGTCCGCATTGGAGGTCCTCTATACAGGGCTTTGGCTTTGGCCCCACCGGAGCTTGCAAAATAGGCCACCCGAGAAAATGCTTTGCCCGCCTCCCCGCTCGCCTCGGTGCACGCTGCGCACCGCGGCACGGCATTCTTACCCCTTCCCCCGCCAACGCCCCTTCAGCGGGACGTCTTGACTTGATATCACCACAGTGCCATGAGTTTCATCAGCCCCCTCCGCCTCCGCCTTCTCTCCCGGGCCGGAGGGAGGCTCAGGAAGACCCAGGAAGGCCTAGGAAGGCGCAAAGACCGGGCGAGCGACGGCGAGGAGGCCTCAGGACCAGCAAACCACGGCCTCTGCCGCCTCGGTGGTGCTCCGGCGGCAGGTCCTGCTCTGATTTTGACTTGGTAATGTGGGGGAATGCGGCCCAAGGAAACGCAAAGTCACCGACCGAGACTGCCGCACCGATGCGACCCGTGAGCAAAATACACACTCCTAGGCCGGGTTAATCAGAGATCAGGCTCGAGATGAATACCGGGTGAAGGTCTTTCCTTGCTCTCTCTTTCTTTCCTTCTGTCTGTCTGTCTGTCTGTCTGTCTCTCTCTCTCTCTCTCTCTCTCTCTCTCTCTCTCTCTCTCTCTCTCTCTCTCTCTCTCTCTCTCTCTCTCTCTCAGCCAGTCCGAGGCGCCTGCCAACTCCGGCATAGGCAACACGCACCACCGCTACGCGCTGAAGAAGACCAGGAGGCCTATCTACAAGGCGCTCAATCTACCACGTATCTTCCATCGTATCCTTTTCACAGCTACTTAAAAACTATAACTAAATAACATTTCTTCTTGTTTTTTTCTTTTTAAATTTTTCCTGATTTTTTTCTATATTTCTTAAAATGGTGTTAATTCAATCCAACTATTTCGTTATACTTTTTCTAATGTAAAATCAGCCTCAATTCATAGAAAAATTGTTTGAAAATAAGTAAACAAAATGTAAAAACGGCACTCACCACTCACATCAAAACCTCAAGAAGCATAAAAATAGCATGCTCATTTTACCAAATCGACACTAGTCCTACATCATCCCCATGATTGTCAATTGAAATCCCCCAATAAAGCATTTTTACAAATTAAAAGCACACACTCTCTCTCTCTCTCCCTTCCGCTCTTTTCCACAAAACACAACGCCGGCCCTGGCGGTGAGCGCTAGCGCTACAACGGAGCGCGCCGATGATCCCGAGAAAAGGGATGAAGCGGGGGGCACCGGAACCGGCCGTGCTCAAAGAGGCTGTGCCGGGGTAGAGGCCTGCATAAACCCCTCGGAAGGGGGGGGGGGATTTTCACCTCCGGCTCTTCTCCGCCAGGATAAAGTGTCACCTTAGTAAGGAAGGCCATGTCTCGTTTTGCAGTGCAGGCGGGCATGTGTCGGGCCCGAAATGGCATACGATCAGTTGTGGTCTAGCCCGTAATGGTAATGGTAATGCGGGGTAGGCAACTCGGTGCACCGACGCGCGGCAGTTGGGCGGATCGGCCTACCTGCGAGGGGCTCCACTAGCTCCACTCCGCTAGCTGCGTCCCATCAGGCTGCGCCGCTGCGGTGGCCAGCGCTTTGCGATTCAAATAGACATCGTCGCGCGCGTCGCCATCACCGGAATGACGTGGAGGGAGACGTGATAGCAAAGCCTCCACAAAAACACACAACGAAAACAAAAGAAATAGCAGCGCGGCTACAAGGCTCCTCCTTTCGCTCTCCTACCGTACCCACCGTAACTTGATGGGCTCCTGCCCCCAAAGTCCCAGCCCAAAATATATATCATTTAACAATCAATCTACACCGGCTGCGCCGCTGCGCCAGCGTCTCGCGGCCGGGGGACCGAGGGCCGGGCCCTCACGAGCCGCGGCTTTGTATAATCAAACGGCTTCCTCCGGCAGCCTCCTGTGCGCCACCGCGGAGAGGCCACCGCGCAGAGGCCACCGGGAAGAGGCCGCCGCGAAGTGGCCACCGCGCAGAGGCCACCGGGAAGAGGCCACCGGGAAGAGGCCACCGCGAAGAGGCCACCGCGAAGAGGCCACCGGGAAGAGGCCACCGCGAAGAGGCCACCGCGAAGAGGCCACCGCGCAACCTGCGGTCCACGCCTGTGGCGAAAAACCGCGGTAGTTTTTGGTAAAGAGGGAGGGGAAAGCGGGGAAAGTGGACGCCCCGACGCGATCGGTGGCGTGTGAATCCTTTGTGCTCCCGTTCCCACTTTGTTGTGCCGGACTGGGCCGTCCAAACTGTTACTCCCCCACCCCCTTCCATCCCGCAATGCTCGGAACAGGCGGCGTGATTGCTTCGCCGATTAGAATTAAAGCGATTATCTGGCGATTCTGAAGTTGCCGTTGGCCACGACGTTAGCCACGTTAGCCACGCCTCGTTAGTCTGATGGGTGATCAGGTGCCAGCAGAACCTCCAGGGCCCCCAGCCGGCGCTGCTTTCGGAAAGGCGCGGCACTGTCGCGGTGCTAGTAGTCTGGCTTTTGGTTTGCGGGCAGCGTGATGGACGAGACGGGCCGCGAGAGCCAGACGCGCGCGGCCGCGGTGGCCGATGGGGCCGGTGCGGCAGGTAGCGCTCCGCCCTCCGGCTCGTCCCGCTCGTCCCGCTCGTCCCGCTCGTTAGTCCGGCTCGTCCCGTTCGTTCGTCCTACCCGTCCCGCTCGTCCCGCTCTGTCATCCCGCTCGTTCGTCCCACTTGTTCTTCCCGCTCGTTCGTCCCGCCCGTCCCGTTCGTCCCGCTCTTCCACCCTGCCGACGCATCGGGGCACGGCACTGCAGCCTGCATTCACGGCACCGCACTGCGCCAGCCGAGCCCACTCGCCGCCACAAGCCCGCCCGCGCCCACCCGCGCGCCCACCCGCGCGCCCACCGTCTGCGACTGTCTGCGAGCATCTCTCATAACATTCAGCGAAAAGAAAATGGCGAGGCCCACATAAAAGGCCTCCTTCACGCTGACGCTCCTTCGGTCTGCTCCCACTAAGAGGAGCTTGGACCTGCCACACTGTGAAAAACAAAAAGCTGCTTGAAGGCTGCGGCTGGTAATTGTGACGGCACTCTGGCCGTGCTTGTCCACCGAGCCTTAGGAACCCGCAGACCTGCGCGAACCCCGTCTTTCAGGTTGAGGGCACAGAGGAGACTGGCATCAACTAACAGCCGCAGTCTTCGCAGTGCACTGCGAAAAGATCGAAGACTGAGGCTGTTAGTTAAGGGGTTTCACACTTGCACAGTCGCCGCAGCTCGGAGCACTCTAGGCTGGGAGTAAGGCGGGCGGCGGCGGGGGCTAAGTGGCCGAAGAGAAATAGAAACAGACGTGAGGAGTGACGGACAGCAGCGGAGGGGGGCGCTGAACGGCCCAGCCAATCGGAAGCCAGGTGCCGACATCCCCGACACGGTGTACATCGTTTTTCCGACCTTGTTTTGCCCAACCTGTGTTTTTGTCCGACCTCTGTTTCGTCCGATCCATTCGCACCGCGCCACGGGGTCAGGCTGCAGCTGGAGAGCGACTCGGCGGCGCTTCATTGATCCAACCGCACAGCCGCGGCGTACTCTCTGTCAATCAAGACATGGCTGCACACGGTAAAAAAAACGCGTCCTGGGAAAATCAAGATTGAAAGGCTTCAAGGTACGGAGGGCCTCCTGTTTCCTGGGCGGTCCTGGAGG